TGTATGGCAATGGTGAAGATCAGCAGCCTTGAATCTGGATACACATTGAACTCCATGGGACCTCAGAAAACTTCTCTTTTTGCATCAGATCCACCACCCTCTACAGCACTTGAGCATTTTCTTTTGACTTTTCCAAGCTAACTGTTCTGCTTCTTCCGATGTATTTTCATTTATCAGGGTCAGCTAGCTCAGCTTTTTTTTCCTAAGCCTTTTTTTTTTTGGTGGAATCAGTACAGTGAGCAGCATTAAATTAACAGTGTTCATTGCATAGCTCTTGTTTTCATGACACCTGTGATCTATTTTACCTTCATCTTAATGTGAGGGTTTTTTTTCCAGTCCAGCAATCTGGCAGTTTCTTTCTTGAGCTCATTTGGAAGCACAAAGAGTTTTGTTTTGACAATTTGGCACTTAAACTTCTTCTTTTCTTCTTCAACCTGAATATGCATTAAAATATTCATTTTAATCTATTTCACATAGTTGATGTTTCAGCAGTTTGTACATTGGATGAGCAATTTTATGCAAGAAATAATCAAATGGACTAAAAAGAGCTGGGTGAAAGGCAGATGATTTGTCCAGTTCAGGCAGTTTAACCAGCACAGTGGAGCATGCTGCTGAAACGCTCCTACGTGAAAAGTTCAGTGCTCAGGGCATTTAAAACAGACTCAGGCAGTCACTTGCATTAATCATTTCCAGTGCTGAAAGAAAAACAGTCATAAAAATTTTTGCGACCCATATCACTGCAGTGATGAGCAGCAGCCTCAGCTTTTTTTCTGCTTTCAGAGATGGAAAAACTGTAGGTCTTGTTTCTGCAAACACTCTTGGAGATTGGGAATCACCAACTTTTTTCTTTCCTGTAAATTAAAGACTCCTCAGAAAAAGCAGGATGCTCCCCTTTGTCAGTGTTTGTGTCAGACACTTGTTTTTCTAGTAGCACTTCTGGGCACCTGGGGAGCAGGTTTAGGAACATGGGACTGGAATGTATGAAAATGGAAAGGACCTGACTTTGGATGCTTCTGCTTGTATGTCCCACTGCACTGCCGGCAGCGCGATGCCAGGCTGGTCTGAATGGGTCACAACATACATAAACAGTCCGTAACAAAACAGTAAACTCTGAACACTGCTGAACTGGACGATATTCAAAACAGGGCAATTTAAAATTAAATTATATAATCGTTCTCTTTTTGCTCTTTAATTTATCAGTATGTCTTGTTCTTTTCTCATGGCTTAATGCTAGCTTGACTTCCTTGGCAGAAATGCTGGTTTGAGTGTGGGTTTGTCTGCATTACCTCTTTATCTTTTTTTCTGAACTTTGTAGGCATAAATAATCTTGAACCTATCAACTTCGCTTGACCCAGTAGATATTATATACTTCTAACATGAAGAGCATGAGGATTATCAGGCATACACTGCCCTAGTAGGTAGTGAATGAATCAAAATGATAAACTGAATAAAGTTATTATTGTTACATGTAGCAGTTGATACATTTGCCCTTTCTAATTAGTGGGAAAATGTGGAGAAAACATAGTTACTAGATTATGAGTGTTTAAGCCTGCCTGGTTATTTGTGAATAGACATGTTGGTGTAGAGAGTCAAGACACTTGCTCTTTTCCTTGGATTCTTCAATTACTCACCTGGATGTCTTTTATTAATAAAACCTCAGAAAAAGTGGAACTTCGTGTGCTTTGTCTCTTTCCTGTACCTCAGAATGATTAGAACTATGAAATTACAGACAGGGATTTGAAAATGTTAAAAGTTGTACTGCAAGGGCTAAGACTGCATTTCTGAGATCTCTGTCATTAAATACTAGTAGTAACTGTTGGGATTTTTTCCAGTTAAACATTTTATAGCAGCAAAGCTGTCGAAGCTGGCTGACTCCCGTGCAACCCAGGCAGAGAAATCGTTAGTTGAATGTCACTTGGAGATGGATCCATCCTGTCCCTCTGGATAGTGTGTGCAGTTGGGTTTTGTATGTTTTTGCCAAGGTAACAAATCCTGGGGTGTGTGTGTCTGCTCCCATCTCTGCGTTGGCTGGGGGAGATGCTGCAATGAAAACCTTGGGGATAGACCTCAGTCCTGTAGCTTTTCCCTGTGCTCTCCAGAACTGTTGGTACGATTTCTTCCCTTCCACCAGACTGAGAGAAACATTTTCTCCGATGCCTGACAAAGGCAGCTCTGTTTTATACTTCTCTCCCCACCCCCATTTCCCCCTATTTTGCTGCCCAGCTTACAAGGTTGGCTCTAAGGCCTCTTCCTCCTGTCGTGCGCTGTGACACGCTTCATGTAAGAAATAATTGCCTGTTATCCTAAAGTTTGGGTTTTTTGAGGGAGCTTTCCCCTTCAATTGTCCTTTTGGCCCAATATATGGCTTTATAAATAGTTGATGATTGATCGCTCCCATTTCCCCTCCTCTTCCTTTTTTTTTTTTTCCACCTTAAAGGATGCATTGTGTAACGCTCTGAACCCAACAGCTCTGATGATTTTTATAATATGTGGCAATCTTGGCTGCTTGCTACAAGGCAGGGATGATAACCAGCTCCCTGTCGGAATGGATATGGATTCTCCTGGAATGTCAAAGGGATGATCAGGCATGATAATGTACACCACAGAAAAATTGAAGCAGTAAATTAAAATAATTTCAGCAGCCTGTTTGGGTGAACAGGATAACAGTTGGGACATCACTTCTTGGAGTCTTCAGTGGCAAAGAAGGGAAACATCTGTTTGAGTCTAACTGTAACTTTCTTGGCTTTAATCTCTTTCAATAACTGTAGGCTGAAAGATTTAAATTGTATTACAAATACAGAGATTTTTTTTTTGATCGTTCATATTCCTGCAGTAGAAAAAGGGGATTTATTCAGATTTATGTGCACGTGTGGCTGCTGGAGGCGGCAAGGCTGGAGTGTGTGGCTGCACCTTTGCTTTGCTTTGCAAGGTGTATCAGCAAACGCTGGCTCAATATACTTTTTGATGTATCTGAAATTCTCAGCTTTTCTCATGGAAGCTCTTCAGAATGCAAACAATGGCAGTTTTGCCATGAAATCCTGTTTCTAATGAATTGAAGATTAATAGTACCATTGAACTCATTAAGCAAGAAAGTGGCTTTGCCCTTCTTTGCATACAAGCTGTATTGCGTGCAGAAACATCTCTTCAAAGAGGGCTTTGCATACAGGAGGTGCTGTCCATCGGTAATTATGGATGCACGTCTTTGGGTATTCCAGTGTATTTATTAGAAAGCCAGAAGCTTATCTGTTCCTGTATTTAGCTAAAGCCAAATATGTGCCAGCACCAGCTTGTCATGCAGCAGTTGTGTCCAATTGTGATTTAGAATCGGAGGATGCTCCTAGCAGGGAGTTTAAATAAGTAAATATATTTTTAAAATCTGACACTTGGCTGCAGGCTAGTTCAGGTGTCAGGCAGTTTTGACAACCAGTCAGGTCTATCTGCACGTGTTTGGTTTGGGTTTTGTTTTTTTTTTTTTTTTTTTCTTCATTCTGCTGCTTTAGTGAAGGAAACCAATTCATGAGTCATATAGCCTTAGGTTTAACTAGACAGCTCAGTAATGCAAGTGTCCCCCAGGACAGAGTGATTTGTATTGATATGGTTAAAATGTATTGTCTTCCTTGTAGTTTAAAAAAACCCACCTGATTGTTTTGTTGAGGTAAATCCCATATTGATTTAAAATTTGAATGGAAATGGGAATGTATGCATGTAAAGCTCTGTAAGAATAATTTTATTTTTATGTTGATGTGGTGGTACTTTTTATAGCTCTGGTGACGAGACACACAAGTGAAGGAACATTTGCCGGAGGAAACTAGAGGGTGTAACAGGCTGTTGTGGTATTTGTGGAAGAAGAGGTAAACTTTTGGTAAATCTCATAGAGACTCAAGGGAGAGCTTGTGTATCTGAAAGCACTTTTTTTTTAACTGAATGACTCTATCATACAAAACTAAAAAAAAAAAAAAAAATAAAATCCATTGACATTAACACTGTGCTTAAAATAGACTGCAGCCTCTGTATAGCCTTTCAAATACAGTTAGCACAAACTGTAGTTGGAGCATCATCTTCCATACCAAGAGGCAAAAAGACCTGCTGTCGAGCACATCTCCCTGCTTTTCCAATCTTCTCTGTGACAAACACTGCTTCTTCGGCAAACCGTTTTCACTCCAATATCCAAAAGTGACCGCTGTGCTAGTGAATCTGGGAAATAAATTTAACAATCTGTGAACAAGGCTTACCAAGTGGGAGCTGGCAGACCCTTCAGTAAAGATTCCTTCCTGGATCCACCTTTCTAAGTTGTAACACCTTGCCAGACCCCATCTGAGCAACCCCATTTCCCCAAGAATCGTTATGATGGGGTGGCACTGGCAACTCACGATGTGTGTGAGGTCGAGGGACGAGGAATAAGGATGGGAGGGGCAGGTGGTACCGAAGGGCTGGGAGTGAGATACAGGGTCAAAGGAAAGAGCAGCAGGTCTGCCCAGAGAGATGGGAGTGTGAAGGAGGTGGTGGTGGCCGACTGCCATCGCAGCCTTGGAGTCCAGGCCTTGTGAAGGAGGTGCCTTACATCAGCAAATTGGGAGCATTGCCTGGTTTGTGATATGACCTTCAGTAAAGGAAGATCATTCCTGTTGGCTTTCTTACTCTGCATTTCTTCAGCTTCCGTGCCAAGCTGTCCCATATTCATAGTCTTGCTTGATCCTGCTAAAATGGGCAATTCTATGTGTTTCCAGGATTGTAGTGTTGAAAATCGCACGTTTTCTGGAAATTTCCCTGTCTCCATACTGTAAGGCTTTTCTGAGTGTGCATATATAACATTTCAGTTTATTAGTACTGTTTGTGCAATTTGACCATAAGTGGCTCTGGGCTGAGCAGTTACTGGATTTGCTAGCGTAAATAGCAGTGCTTAATTGAGCCTAAATTATTTGTAGATGCGGAGCATGCTCATTTCTTCTGCCTTTTTACCATCTTCCCCAATTAACTTTCATTTCTCTGTTTTGTTGCAGAGCAAGGAAGTGGGATTGCAGCTCCAGGAAGACTTGATGAAGGTCTTGAATGAACTCTACACGGTAAATCAGACTGACTTCTTGGCATCTTTTCAGGCAGAAGGAAGAAGTGTTTGACTTCTTCCAGCCTGCTGCTACAGCAGAGACTAAACAGCAAGACTGATAAATGTCTGAAGTCTTTGTAGTTTCAAGCAGCTTGTGTTCACCAGTTCGCCATAAATCTCACTTTTTCACTCTACCCTTATATTGTCTCAGTTCTGTAAGTGTTGGCTCCACTTCTCAAAATTCTCACCTTAATGCACACCTGCTACTAGCTGCAGTGTTGGTTTTAAAAAGAGTGAGAGATATTAGAAATATTTCCAAATACGCTAAAAATACTCAGCCTGTGGTTTTGTGTGGTCTGAGCATACAAAAGGCAGCATACAGCTTCAGTGGGGAGACCCACTGTGTTTATTTGTTCCTCAACTCTTTCAGCAAAACAGCTCCCTTTAGAGTAATAGTCTTCCATCTGTGCTTTTTGCTTCTCAGTATGTCCATTGGAGACACCAAGAAAGAGGCACTGCCTTGGGAAGGAGAAGGAATGTGTTCATAAAAGTTCATATACTGCTTGGGGATTTTTCTTCTCCGTAGATGAATGGAAAAGCCTGTTGTTTGATTAAATTTTTGCTTTCTGCAGCTGTTACTGAGCTAGTTCTCTTTTAAAAGCAGAACCTGCACACGGTTTTGTTGTTCTAAATGTCTTTTCTTTTGTCCTTCTTTAATGATACATTGGGTCATTACACTGAGGTACATATTCTTTCCTTTGTTTGAAAAGATGATCCAGGGATGTTTCTCAATCCATGACATACCAGTCTTGTGATGAAATTTGATATTAATAGCAATGCTAGACTATTAGGGGGATCCCCAGAAATTTCTCATATTGACAAAAAGTATAGACGGGAATTGTTTCCTTAGAGCAGCAAAGCCAAATATTTAGAATAATCTTTTAGGAAAAAAGGGAGCTCAGGCGTAGGAAAAATGTTCTTGCTTCAACTGAAATCGCATTTGAAGAGGTGAGACATTGAATCCAGTTTACGATTTTCTTCCTTTTCTGGATTGGAGTGTTTAGCATTACTGAGTGTGGGCAAAGAGTATTCCTTGACGGGAAAGCCAAGAACGAGCAGTATGGTGGAAGCTGGAGGCACTTGGAAGCTGACCTGGGGCTCCATGTACGGTCGCTGCAGTTAGTACAGCCGTGGTTTACAATAGTACGAGCAAACCGCGTTGTGCTCCAGTTCCTGAAAGGCAGACAATTTACTTTGAGTATGAAGGTGGCTTTGTAAATGTAACAGTGCCTATCCTCAGTGCTGCCTACTCTAGAAATTATTTTTTATTTGAGGTCAAAACCTGATTCAACTTTTGAGTCCTGTACTTGGAAGGCATCCTAAGGAAGGATATAGATCTGTCTCTAAACACAGACTGTCAGGGACCGAGATTTATTTCTAGCCCAAGTTCACGTGACACTGAAGTTGATAAGGTGGCTGGTTAGTGATGTTTACATAGACATAGGTAATAATTTCTGCATGCCAGGCTCTGACAGATCATTGAGCCAAATACTGAGTCCTGTTTTCTCAATCACTGGAAGGAAGATCTTCCAGAACTCAGCCTTTGTTAAACAGAGTGATGTAGGGTATTAACGTTTTTGATGTCAGTGCTAGGAACTTGAAATCTATTTACTCATTCCATCTGCTGTAAAATTCTAAATTGTCCCTTCAGCAGAAAGTTTATTTTCCTTTGAAAAAGCCACTTCTGCTGATTGTATTGAAAGATACTTCGTGCTGGACTGGATTTAATCACTGGTGGGAGTGCTTTTACTGGTACTTTTGGAAATCCTTCCCCCTCTTGTTCTACTGGATATCCAAAAGGTTGGCAGAATCCCCATTTTCAGAAAAAATGGATATGGACAAAGTCTTCAGTTTCCCTAGACAGATAAAACGTGGAGCATTGTTATAACCTGTAAGTTTTTGTCCTGAATTGTCCTGTGCAGTCAGTCCTTGCCCGTGCTGTTGCCCTCCTCAGCCGCCAGAGCGTCGCCAGCGGCCCCGTCGCCAGCCGTGGGGCAGGCAGAGCTTGTGGTTGCCAGTGTGGCACCATCAGCAGGATAAAATCATTCACATTGTGATTTCTTTTTGTGCTTCTCTTGCTTTCTGCCAGTTCCACTTTCAGCGATAGAGGAAAAGAAACTACTTTGCATCCATTATTATAAATGCCTGCTTTATAGTCTAAGCATATGCAGGAGCTGAAAGTGTGTGTGTGTAAATTATTCAGAAAGTCTCTCTTTAATGCTGGCTGCATTCACATTCTTTTTTATGTTTAAATACAACGTCTCCTTTGTATCTGAGAAACTTTGCTGATCACTGCATAAAGAGGGAGCATGCATCCCACTTACGTAAAATTATGTTATGGTTCAAACTAAGGTGAAATAGGTAGAAGTGGGTTTTCATCTGAAATAAATCAAATTATTTGCAAGTGGGGTCTTTATTAATGCTGGAATGACACTATTGGGGTGTTTTTATGCAACTGTGCGTTTTTTTGGCCTCCTATCAAAATTATATCATACTAATGTTTGCTTTGCTGTGTGAATTGAATTGCTTTGCATTTGTGGATTAAAAAAAACTAGTTTATATATAATGTCCTTTGGGTTTTTGGTTCTGTTTTCTTAACACAAAGCTAGACCTGAATATCCTATGAAAAAAATGTGGTTTTTTTTGTGACTCTGAGGGATATTTATCTATACCTACTTATAGAAAATGTGCTATATTAATAGTTGTACTTATAATACAGAGTCCAGGTCTCCCTGAGCAAAAGAACCACATTCTTTTATTAATACTTTTATTACAAAAGCTGAACAGGAATACTTTTACATATCGCATTTGATTTAAACAAATTGAACCCGAATTGCTTTTGCAGCCGTTGTGTTCAGACTATTGATTTGCATGCAGTTCCTTGAGACTTGTGATGCTTAAAGGGCTGATTCATCCAGATAAAAGACTGATAGGCATCCCTTATGAAACCTTACCTGCTGATGAAAAGCTATCATTTTCCAGCATTGGCATAGAATTTTCCTTGAATAGCAAGGAGGCTGGATTTATTCTGTATCTTTTTTTGGTTTTTATGACTCCGTTATTGGATTGTACAAGAAGGCACATGCCAAAGTTAAACAAAGAAGCAGCTGCAAAATAATCCACATTGATTTCGGATTCATTTTGAGAGCCACACTTTCATTTGTGCATCTTCTGTTATGCTTTTTCTGGGATGTGAAATCTCCCTGAGTGTTTTGCCAGTTTAGATATTTCTAACTTGCAACTAGCAACCAGAACTGACTGGCTGGTTTACTGTCCAAATGCCCTTGCTTAGTTAGTACGATATCTTGCATTTAATATAAACATGATGGACGGCTATTATGAAATGGTTATATTGAAGAAACGTACACTTTGGGGGAGTGCATTGGCCAAATTTAAAAAAAAAAAAAAAAAAAAAAAGAAGTGTTGCAGTATGGGACTTCTTTCTTAGGATTTTTAACTCCCTCCTAGCCTGTGAGCTTTCCAGGTACATGTATTGCTGTTCTCCCTCAGACTTGGTCATGCAGATAAAGTAAGGCAAAACATCTGTATACCTAGTTTGTTGGTTAGGTAAACCCATTTCTTCCTCATCAAATCAAATGCTGGTGCTTTCTGACTGTTGTGTATCATTTTCTGCAGGTTATGAAAACCTACCATATGTACAACGCTGACAGCATTAGTGCTCAGAGCAAACTGAAAGAAGCAGAGAAGCAGGAAGAAAAGCAGATTGGGAAGTCGGTGAAACAAGAGGACAAGCAGACGCCACGTTCCCCTGACTCAACTTCCAACGTCAAGTTTGAAGAAAAACATGTTCGAAGAAGCTCTGTCAAAAAAATAGAGAAAATGAAGGAGAAGGTACTTCCACAGCATTGTGACTGCTTGTGTAGAGTGCTTGAGGAGGGGACCTTTGCAGTGGTTCAGCACAGGAACTACTGAGTTCCCTCCTTTGTGACATTCAAATGCAAGTCTCAATTTTTGTATGAGTTTGAAACATTCAGATTTAGGACAGGTAAAAGCTAGCGCCAAGTTTCTTTTAGGACAACAAATTCGCATTTTGTAGTATCCCAGATTATACAGGCGTGGCACAGAAAGCTAAAATGAGGTTAGAGTGTGAAAGTAACAACTGTCTTCTTGGAAGTCATGGTTAACATGTTTTTCCTTGTACAGAGTACAAGATTTTAGTTTACCATTTCGTGCCAGGGAGACATGCAATCCCAAACTGACTTCATGGGCAGAACCAGTGGCCTTAGCAATCAGTCAGTCAATTAAGTAGTTCAGCTCTAATATTCAAGCCAGTAGAAGGTGAAGAGTTATTTTTGCATTGATTTGGGCTCTGAAAGGACCAAGTTTAGGTCTAGCTTTTGTTGCAAGAGGTGGGGTGCCTGCACCAGCCCTCAGACTACCTATGGGCTTCTAGCAGCCATGGTAGTAGTGCTGGAGCTGGGCCATAACCTCATAAACCCACCTCGTTCCTTCAGTCTTCCCCAACCCACAGTCTGTTTTAAGAGAAGATTTTAAATGCAAAGCTGTCTTGTATAATAATGCTTAAAAATATCTAAATAATTAATCTAAATTCTGAGTCTTTGAGTCTTGATAAAACTGGAATCCAAATCAACAAAAACTGTGTGAGCAGAGTAAGATTCGTTCAGTAGTCTCTGGTGTTACTAAGAATGCTACTACTCCTGCTGCACCTCTTTTTAAAATATATTCTGATTTTGGTTCTCTTTTAGCGCCAAGCGAAATACACAGAAAATAGACTGAAGGCTATTAAAGCAAGAAACGAGTATCTGCTAGCTCTGGAAGCCACCAACGCATCTGTATTCAAGTATTACATTCATGACCTGTCTGATCTCATTGATGTAAGTGCTGCTGCTTGGGTGCCTGCAATGAATGTCGTTGCCATTAACCCTCACGTGTGCCTCTCCTTCAGCATCCCACACACCAGCAGGACTGGTAACCTTTACAGCTGTGGAATGATGGTCTTGGATGGGCAGCTTGGAGGGTAACAACAGGCGTGGTAATTGGTCCTTAAGCTGTTAAGTGAGCTTTTCTTAGATGGCTAACTCAGAGTTTGTTGCACAGATAGAAGCTTGCACAAGAAACCTGGCACTGAAACATGCAGAAGGAGGAGTTGCTTAGTTAAAATGAAACTCAGCTTTGGTATCACACTGTTGCTTGACATTTTCTGTTTGCTATTTCAGGCAAACCGGCAAGATTGTAACTCAGAAGCACATTTAAAAAAAGAATGTTAACTGTAGAAACGGTATACCAGTTGGTAAAAGAAATCAAGGACAGAAGCAATTTCTAAATCTGCTTTTAACTTGTTTTGAAAAATTCCATATATTTCAAGGTTAACTCTTCCTCTAGCACGTTTCACAAGAGGGATGAACCTCGCTGCTTTTAAGACCCTCCATTCTCTGATACCGCGACCCACCAGCTTTACAGCAACTTGGTGCTTTTCTGTCACTGGGGCTGCAGAGCACTTCCAGTCCAGTTCTGAAAGGTGTCAGGGGAGTGAGTGTCAACAGCGATGGGGATTCCACTGCTTGCCACTCTGCAGTCTCTCTGCGCAAAGAAAGGAAGAAATAAACTGGCTGTAGAAACCAGTCCCCCCCTTCCTTAGAATGCTCTCTGCAGAAACGGGGAAATGGAGCAGAAGGTGGAGGAGGGAGCTTGTTCCTCAGCCGCCTGCAAGGCCTCTGTTCGGCAGCCGAATGATGCCCCTAGTACTCAGGGGGCATCACTTCTGCTTTTGGTAAAATGCACAACAAAAACCCCCAAATCTCTCCTCTTTGAAAACTCAGAAAAGCCAGTTAGGACTCCCGAGACTTTCCACTCATACGTAACTACCCACTTCAGCCTGCAGACCTGGGGTTCCGAACGCACCGAACACGTCGCGTCTGGGTCACTGACTGTTGCCTGATCTTATTCTGCTTGGCAAGGACAGCCCGCTGCCGTCGCTATTAGAAACACTCAACTGCAAAGCCTGGAGGGAACTTTCTTTGTAGGAGGGAGGAGTAATGAACAGAAGTGTCTCTAGACACAGGCAATAAAGAGCACTCAGATCACTATTAATTAGTCAGCTATTATAATACCTAACAATATATATAATGCATTTATTCAGCTGATCATAAAATCACGTGAAGTGCACTTCTGCTAGGTGTTTATTTAAACCTGTCCTTTGGAGGTCAGGATTGTCAGTGCTAGATGCTTTTGAAAAATGCTGTTATTTCAACATGTCACATTTTGCAAAATTCCTGAACTGAACAGGCATGTTTTGTTTATACCTGCTGCCTGTTTAGGAGACCTTTTTTGGTTAATATTTGCTCAACTTGAATCGTGCCATCTTGTTTTTTTAACAAATGATAGTTTTCTGTATATTTCTAGATTGCAACATGTAAGATCAGGGTTCATTTCACTGACATCAGAATAATTCAATTGTCTCAATTTTTGTTTTAAATCCTAAATCCTCCCTCAACTACTGCAAATGGGCTTGGTTCAGTTGTCTGCTAACAGACTGTTCTTAGTACTTTTTCATGAGTCATATATAGTAAAGAATCCATTTGAATTTCATAAACCGATAACAATTTTTAAGCACAGACCTGAGATCTTTTAAGTAGAACATTGACAAATAGAAGTTACCCAGCTTTGAAGGAAGTGCTTTTCTCAGTAGATAGTCTCAGCCGTCTCTGGGATGTGGTGGGCAATGGTGCAAGACAAGCAGCCAAGGATTTGTCACTGTTCTTAGATTTGTCACATGGATTTGTCACTGTTCCTAGAGAGGAGCCGTCGTGACTCTGGCTGGGTCCATGCTCATGTTAACCCTCTTGTGTTCCTTGAAGCATTCAGTTTAACCGTACATGGCAAGTTCTCATAATCTTTGAAAGAAAAGTATATCTGCTCTGTTTTCAGAGGGCATGGAAAAATGTGGGACTTGCCTGGAAGCACACGAGATGGAATTCAGTTATCTCATTGTTAAGACTCAGGGAATATGGGTTTACTAATGCCTTTGATCCTGAAGGATCGAAAATTAACAATTATAACCAGTGATGGTTATCTGAAGCATCCGACTTAAATAGAAATGTGATTTTTAAGCTAGCTCTTAATTCTCTTCCTTGATCTAATCATTTGATGATATTGAATTTTGAAATGTAATATAAAAGTAATCTTCAGAGTTACTTACGAGTAGATTGCGTTAGGCCAAATAGCATTAAACTTACCATGTTTATACAACACATTGTGTTCCCCTTCCATTGTGCATGGAAGGATAACAATGAGTTAATTCTTCATCATGAGTTAAGAGCAATAAATTGTTCCTGACATAGCCCAGTAGTTTTGAATTTCCTGACTTTGGGAACTAAGGCAGCTCTTTGATGCTAATGAAGTATTGCAGTAATGGGGAAGTTTGTATTAACTCATATTTATGAAAGGGTCACTAGGACTGAATTTAAGAAAAGATAAAAGTGCTTGTGCGTGTGTGTAAGTCCTAAAGCTTACTTTACTCTCCTAGGAATAAGTGTACCATTGCTGTTTACTACAGGATCTCTTACTTCCCCTTCCAAATGTAAACTGCATTTTAAAACAGAGGTCTCTTTCTCCTTAAATCTTCTATTTTGGGCCTGTTTGAAAACTGCTAACTGGCAAAGGGTTAATCAGCTGTCATGTTGGGAAGTGAATTTGAATGAGTTATCATTAAATTGTTATAAAAAATTGATTTGCTTGGAGAACAATTCTATCAAACATTTATAAAACCCAGAAAAGGGATGGCAAGACGGATGCATTTATAAATATGGTATGCCAGACTTTTAAAAACATTGAAGTGGGGGAATAGGCTGAACAATGTTTTCTGTCACTGGCTTCAATAACATAAAGCCAAAAAACTTTGCCATTTTAACATAGTCCTGCTGCTCAGTGAGGTGGGGTGTAAAATATTAAGTCCCATGTGATTTTGTAGCCCCACCAGAGAGCTGGAGGAGGCGAGCGTGGCGGGGCCGGGCTGGGTGTCCTGGATGGGTGCCGCCGTCTGGCCCACGCTAGCAGGGGCAAAGGAGCAACCGGTCCCGTTTAAACCTGAGCTGAGCCTAATCCTGGCTGGACTGTTGGCCCAACTTAGATTAGCTCTCCCCGAATTACTGCAGAGGATGGCACCGTAGTGTGCATGCAAAAGAGCGGCGGCTTTGAGTGGCTGTTAATCCGGGACTGCCTCCACACGTGCAAATTCTCAATCAAGCGTCTTTTGTTTGTTTTTTTATTTTTTTTTTTCCCCGCTAGTTTTTGTTCTTTCTGATTGAATGTAATGTCCTTTAATTCTCTGCTTCCAGCCTAACCAGCAACTGCAGCTCTTTTTACATGACTCCACACCTGCCACAGCTTGTTGGCACAGGAGCCAGGCATCTAGCAACACTTGCTGACAGAAATTCTGTGAAAGCAGGGAATGGTCCAGTAGTCGCTCTCTCTTCTCTCTCCCTCCACCCCTCCTTCCCTCCCTGCCTTTTTTTTTTTTTTTTTTCTGCGTTTGCACACAATGACAGTGATGAGACCCAAATGGTGGGTGAGGAGGAGATTTCATGTGAATTTTGCTTACAGAGCAGCACAGCAATCAAGCAGATGGTCTCTTTCTTTTTGGATATTCTCCTAGCATATGTAATCTTGCTTGTAATTCCAAGAAGGTGGGCTCCTTTCTCGCTCACTTTATGAGATGTCTGGAAAATTCAGGCTGTTTCTGATCAGCTAATGAAAAGCGCCTTTCTCCCTTCTGAAACATTAGGACTTGGCTGCTCAGCCATGGTGGAGATGAAGCTGCTTGATTGTCTTCCAGTGACATCATCCTGGTGTCAGTAATAGCCAGGAAATTCTTGACCACGACCACTTTGCCTGAAAGTTTTTGCTCTTCTGTTTCACCCCAGCAATGAAGTCATCCCAACAGATTGCTGCTTGCTTTTTGGATGACTCTGTTCTTTATGCCTGTGATGTACAGGTCATGCTTCCTGAAGTACACTGAATTAAGCAGTTTTCTGTATCTTGGGTGGAATAATTTAGATGCAGATTAAATTTTGCAGATGATCCAAATCCCGTAGCTTGTTTCTCCGGGTAGTACTTCAGTGTATTGTTTTCCCCTTACTTTGAATAATTTTCTGTAAAGATTTTGGAGTGTTTACACTGGGAATCAGCACCCCTGAAAGTAAGGTTAGAATCTAAAGAAATATACTGAACATACCCACTTGTAGTTTACTTTTTTTTTTTTTTTTCCTTTTAACAGCATGAAATAAATTCTGCAGTACTCCATGAGAACTCCACAAAATGTTACAGCAGTTTAAACTGTCCTTGTCTTGGAGACTAATTGTAACATGATGTTGAAATTTGTATGGGATTAGAGGTTGAGAATTCTGTTTCGGGCCAAGCCTGAGGACCCCTAGTCAAGATGCCTCTGGAATCAGTGAGAGATGTGAGACTGCTCTGGTACCCAGTAGATGATACAATAGCCCCAACTTGTTATCCATTTATATAACTTCTGGCTTTGGAAACTTTTTCATTTCCATTACAGAATTTCTTCGCTTATTCATATGGAATTGTGTGTCTTTTCCAGCAGTGCTGTGACCTGGGATACCACGCTAGCCTCAACAGAGCTCTCAGGACATTCTTGTCTGCTGAGCTAAACCTGGAGCAGTCAAAGCACGAGGGTCTGGATGCCATTGAGAACGCCGTGGAGAACCTGGATGCCAACAGTGATAAGCAGCGCCTGATGGAGATGTACAACAATGTCTTCTGCCCGCCCATGAAGTTTGAGTTTCAGCCGCATATGGGTGATATGGTCAGTTTATATTCCTCCTCCGGCTCTAGCTCTGTAAACACGTGCAGTTCCGCCTGTTTACTTCCCTTGTCTTTGATAGATAGACCCACTAAACAGCCACCTGTTTGGCTCTGTTTTGGGGAGATAGAGGGGAGCCTTAGAAAAGGGAGCTGAGATAAAGATTAAGCAGATGCTTATGGCAAGGATGTCTGAATAAGACTGAGATGTAAACTCTTAATTAGATATAATGCTAAAAGTAGATAGGAAACGCTGTTTTAACCTCTCCTTCAACCCACAAGTTAACGCCTGTACCCTGAGACAGGCTCTGAAGTTAGAGATTTGAAGGGGCAACAACGTAAGAAACTTAAATGCTGGTTTTTTGAGGCAATTGAGCGTGTAATCTTAGAGCACAAATGGTTTATAGTGGCTCTTTACGCATCTCCATTGTGAGACAAGGCAGTCAGAGGACTTTCATTTTTGGCAATGAAAATCTCTCTCTTTATAGGTTTATCGAGATGTGGTTACTCGTCTGGGAACTGTTTAAAGTCGCACAAGTTGAAATGGGTTCTAAATGGGAACACATGTACAATGTAATAATTTAGGTCAATTGGTTGGATTTCTAGCTTATCCTCCTGAATACTGAGAAAACACCGTAAGGATGGTCTCCTGCAGCCAGCCTCTTCTTTTGGTCTAAGAATTACAATCGCTGCTTAAGGCTCCTCTTTGTCTCTTCCCTCTTAAGTGAAACCCTCAGACTGCCAGTGACCTTTCTCGTTTTTTCTGTGCTTTGGTAGTAGCCTGTAAGATCGTGGGAAGAAAAAGGATTACCTGCAGGCTGTCGTTTGGTTAACAGCTCACATTTGCTGAATCATTTATCTTGGTTCTTCTCAAGGCCAAATGAGTGTTTATAAATGCAGGCTGATAGTCACAGTGGTCCTGCGTTACTCAGACTGGATATATGGTGGTATATGCGCACGTGTGTGATAAACCTCCAATTTCTGTCTTTAAAAAACAGCCTTGTGCAATGAGGTCAAAGTTTTCCTTTAAAACAAACAAACAAACAACAAAACAACAACAACAACAACCAAAAAAACCCCAAAACAAACAAACAAACAAACAAAAAAAAAAACTAAAAGGAAAAGCTGCTTCATGCTGTGAAATAAGACTTATTCTTAACAGTACAGGGAAGCCCGCTATTCTGGCATATTTGACAGGTCCTTAAACCTGTTCTTTTTTTATTTCCACTCCCCTGAATTCATTAAATAGTGAGTCGTACCTGTTGCTGTAGTGTACAGGTAGTTCAGCTGAGCAAGCTGAGCCAGAGATGCCCCTTCCCCAGGATGCCTGGCTCATACATTGAACCCAAATCTTCTTGATGTGTGGTGTGATTTAGCCTAACATCTGTGATAAAGCACCTTCAGACTTTCAAAACACACGACAAGCTTACATTACTGAAAGCAGTTAGTTTTTTCTAGATCTCTTGCTCACTTTTCAAGACATTCAGGAAGGGAACTGCAGTTTGGTAGAACATGGACCTTTTCCACTGGTTGAAATCCAGGGCTACGACGTTTTAAAATGGAGCACTTTGGAAGATGTTTGCTTATAACAAGTGAATGAAGTAATTGCAATGTTCTTGATTCTTTTCCTAGCCCTCTAAAAGCAGTGCTGTTTCTCTTCCAGGAGTCGCAGCTATGTGCCCAACAACCAGTCCAGAGTGAGCTAGTGCAGAGGTGCCAGCAATTGCAGTCTAGATTGTCTACGCTTAAGATTGAAAATGAAGAGGTGAGCTAATCGACCAAAAAGCAACAAACCTCTTACCACTTCCAGTGGGGTGTGGGGACTAGTTAAGGAAGAATCTAGTTGCTGGGATCCTCTTTGATGAAGACTTATGGTAAAATTCAAAAATAAGGCAGGTGAGGCCAGCAGTAGATTAATGATTGTGCATGAAAGCTGGGTGTGTGGAGAGGATCCTTTAAAATACCTCCACGTATCTTTTTTCCCATCCCTAAGTTGATAGGACTGGTTATGTTGCAAAAGTTGTATTTGGATAGCTAAGAGAAAAAGAAGAATTTAATGTTTTGAAGTGAAGACAGTGAATTTGCATAACCTAAGGTAAGAGCTAATTTTTGTTTAATTGGTCATCTAAGATGAGAAGACTAAACCAATGGCATTTCTTTGGGAAAATGCCAAATCTCCACCCTTGTGTTCAGGGATTTTCAATCCTCGTTGGGCAAAATTTGCAATTCCTTTATGTCGAGGAAGTTGATTCTGGCCTTCAGTAAAAATTTACAGTGCCACAAAGTGCTGTTTTTAATATCTGACATTTGATGCCGAGTAGATGTAGTTACTGGAGACGATTGTAAGATCTTTGTTCCAGCAGTTTTTGCTTTGAGGTTAAATTTCCTTACATCTCTTCCTCCTCCCAGCCTGTAAGATTACAACTGTTTTGCTACTCCTGGCAGGTTCTGTGTGCTGCCAGCCCTTTGTTTATATGGACTGTGCTGTTAATGAGCAAAACTTGCACCTTAGTTATGGCACACAGGATGTGAAACCAGTAATATCTGTTTATTAGTAAAATGCTCCAGGGTACTTACTACCTCTGTTTTTGACTTGCAACGTACTATCTTCGTTTTATAAGTACTCTCATTCTTGCTGGACAGGTTAAGAAGACTATGGAAGCTACGCTTCAGACAATTCAGGATATAGTCACAATAGAGGACTTTGATGTCTCTGACTGCTTTCAGTACAGCAACTCTATGGAGTCTGTTAAATCCACTGTCTCGGAAACGTTCATGAGCAAACCGAGCATTGCCAAGAGACGGGCCAACCAGCAGGAGACAGAGCAGTTCTATTTCACAGTAAGGAGTTAATTTGCAGTGTGAGCACGTATAATGTATTTAGAATTATACTCGCAAGAGAGTGCAAAATGATGCTATCATCTTACAGAAATGCTTCTGTAATTGATTTTGGACAAGCAGAGTAAGCATATTATGTTTTGAAAACGGGTGCTTTGAATTCTTTACAAATATATTGGGATACCTTTGTTGATGCAAACTTGGTGGATAAATTGTGTAAAATTTGATTTCTTCTGCATCTAAAAAGGAATTGTCTGAGAAGGAACTTAATATCTTGTAAATATCAATTTTCAAAAATAATACAAACTAAAGGAATGTTTAGCTCTTTCATTTGTTGTTATTATCATCTTGCAAGTTCAGCTCACATATGCTTTTAAATGAGTCAGTGCATTTTTACAAGATGCTAAGAGCTTTTTATACTGAATTTCATACCAGACTATATGTTTTTTCCTAATTTAGATTTATTTTAAACTGTTGAATTCATTTCCATTTTTAAAATATTGCGGAATAGCAGATGAAAATCGTACCTCTTATCCTGGTTACTTCGTCATTCCTTTGAGCACCTCTTGCTATACTTGATGCCCTTTACATTCCTCTTCCAAGAATGGTGTTGCTTATTAAAAGTCTGAAGTTTCTGTGCAAATTACAGTAGCTGTCAGGATGGTTTCTGTCAAAAATTAAACAGCCTTTGTAAAAGGTGAAACTGGCTATTGAGAAAAATGGGTGGAGAAACTGATTCAATTAAGAAGGGGTTGACCACCCTGCCCAGGGTTATGAAACTAGAAAAATGATTTTTAATTGAACTCTAAGCGTTTCCTCTCTAGAGAGGGACTATTGTAAGTTCAAACAGGAGACCGAACCCGGGCCTTTATTTGGATATGATATTTTTCCGTTCCACCATCTCAGCATCCTGCTGCAGAGCGGTGAGGTCCCCGCAGGACTGCGGAGCCGTGGCAGTGAGCAGAGGTGCAACCTGCCATGTCCTGCGCGACGCGGGGGAAAGAGCTGTCGAGGAGGCCCTCTTTAACCAGCCTAATCAGCTGCTTGATTGATCTGCTGTTGGCCAGACTTGCAAATACCCTCTATAAGGGTTTCGAGCTTTGAACCTCTAAGGAGCAGTTTTTTCGGTGTATGAGAAAATGCTCAGATTAATGAGACTGATGGCAGAGCTGTGTAGCAACGTGGGCGAGGCATTCTTTGTGTAGGGGGAAGAATCCAAGTATAGTGCAGAATGGGAATTTAAATCCCCTCGTACCTTATGATGTGCTGGATGCTGAGGGATATAAGCTGAAGGAAAAATACTAATTTGAAAGAATATTCTGTGTAACTCAAGTTGGAAATGCCACGTACTGCATTGCTAGCTGGGCAGAACTCTTACGTAAATGTAGTGATGCCACCATGGGAATTTAATTGCAGGAGTACTGGCTGTAGTATCGCTGTGCTGGTAGAAGCTGTGTTTCCACTAGAGGCGTATCATAGCACACTGGTGCCGAGGTGGCTCTGTTGTCAGGGCTTCGAAGGAAGGTTTGTATGCAGAATAGAAGCTTAAACCTCCCCGTGTTGGGGAGCCGAAATCCCGGGCTGTGACCTGGGTGCCGGGCAGGCGCGTCCCACCGCTGGCGTGGCTGCACTGCGGCTGCCCGGGCAGCCCGCGGTGCCTGCCAGAGCTGGGCTCCTGCTGCTCATGGTGCTACAGCTGGCACCCCGCCCTCCCTGAGGAGTGAAAAGGGCAATGAAGGATTTGATTCTTCTTACCTCTAAAACAGGGGATAATTTTAGTTCTTCGTTGAAACGTTATTTTTTCCTCTAGAAAGATTAAAACCCAGTACGATGCTCATTCTGGGAAGCGCTTTAAAAATTAATGCAAATGTATTATTGCCAAACCCTTAAGACACGGGTAAGTATTATATAAAGTTCCCCTGGTGATCAATCCTACAGAAATGCCGTGCTGGTTGTGTCAGGGTGCCACTGTTCCCACGTCCAGGCGCTAGCGGCGGCGCAGGGGAGCGGGGATCTGATTCACCCGCTCCTTCAATCGAGTGCCTTGTTTGAAGTCGTTCTTGGGGGGCGGAGGGAGGGAGGGAGGGAGGGAGGGAAACTGCTGAGCTTTCCAGATTTGAGACAGTTAAGGATGTGGGACAGTGGCAGAAACTCAAAAGCATAAAATCTCCTCTCCCACAAGGCAGGAAGATAGGGGCTAGTTTGCATTTCTCTTCATTACGTATGCCACCTGACAACGGGTTCTCGCTGGAAAAATACTGCAGAGAGTTTGGGCTTAGAGAGGGCGTCGAATTTGCATGGTTTTGAGGAGATGGTAGGTGCAAAATGCTCACCGTCTCTGGCTAACAACAGATCTTCACCTTTTAATTTTTTAAAATGCAGAAATAACGTGACTTGAAGACCTTTCTTACTGCTTTGTGTCTGATTGTATTTAGTCTGACTCCAGCTGTGCTCTGCCAGAAATGAAATCCTTAGGAGTTCTGTAGTTGGATTTTTTTTTTTTTGACTGTTTTTAATAAGCCAGAAATCAAATGCTAATGGATCTTTGTAATTCCACTGAAAAAAAAGCCTGAAGCCTTACTTTAAAATTACTTTTTTTTTTCATAAGCCTGCTTGTAACAGGCAGGGTACAGAATGTTAGGCATGAGGAAATAGAAGGAATGCATGAAATACTGCACCGGAGAGACACTTTCTCTTTTCCTCCTTTAAAACAATCCCTGGTACCTGTCTGCAGGCAGGCGATGGTCTTAATGTCACCACCACAAATGCCTGGAAGCCAGAGCCATCGGCCGGAGCATCTGGGAGTGCCAACAGCCTGTCCCTGCCCTGCTCGGGGAATCCGCCTGCCCCGCTCAAGTTTTTGTATCTGCTTCAAAGGGAAGCTTAACCCTCTTCCAAATCAAGTTGATTTGCTGATCTTTAAGCGTCTGTTTGAGCTATTTGGCGCTGAGCCTTCTAGCCCTTCTGTCTCTTCGCCTGGTCGTGACTTTGAGACAGAGAGCTCAGTACTTTCCAGAACCAGATTTATCCTCAAATCCCCACTTCAAATTCTGTGGTTATTTTTACAGCTTATACTCTTTATGTTTTCTTCTGTCCAAATTTGATGCAAAAATTTAACTGACTGAGCAAAATACATACCTGGGGCTTGGTGAACAGATTCTACAGGGAAATTTAAAAAAATATGGCTAATTTTTTTTTTTTGCCACAGCGATCATGCTTCCTGTTTTCCTCTAAAACAACAAAAAAAAAGCTGGTATTAGGATAGGAAGCAGGAAGTGCTGAGACTCTCCAAAGGGACTTAATTCTTGTGAAATTTTTCTTCCAGTGTTGTCAACCAAAGGGACATAAAACACAGACTTTTGGCAGTTAATTAAAGCCCCAGCCCAGCCATTTCTGTCTGTCGTGTTGGTACACAGTGCTGCCATAGAGCCCACAGTGGAAACTTCATTAGCTCCTGGAAGGCTTCTCCCCATCCTCAGCACTGCTTCATATATATGTGTATATACATATATGTGTGTGTATATATATATGTATGTATATGTATTTATTGCTTGTTGGTTCTTTACATCTTGCATGGAAGCTGCTGTTGTTACGACCTGCATAGGATAAGCAGGGTCCAGGCACTCTCATTGCTAAAATACTGTTTTTTCATGTTAAGGATCTGCGGTCTAATTTGGCAATACCAGTCCGGAACTGGAAGAAAGTAGATAGAATTGGGGAAAGCTGAAGACAAGAACTGGAACATTTAATTATTAAAAGAGAATCCTTTCTTTGTGTTCATTTTGCTAGCTGAATTTTTAAAATATCTCATGATTTTAAAGAATGGCCTGTGATATTTGAAGAGTTATGTGCTATTTATGTATTTTTGAGTGCAAACATGCCCTAATTATAATGTGGACAGCTACCGTACAGCAGAGTATTTTATGTGCTGCGGCACAGTGAAGATAAATAATGTTGTTCTGAACTGCAAAATAAGAGATGAAAGAGCTGTAAAAAACTAGCATTTGCAGAGCTGTGAAAAATCAGAAAGAAGTGGGAAAAATGACTGCGTGATTGTATAATATTTCACCAAGAGAACAAATCTGAACTTAAATAATATCTTTATTTGTTTTGTCCTGTGCCCCCCCTGCAATGCTGTGTATCATCCAGCGTGGAGGCAGACACACTATTTGACAAGTAAAGTGGGGTGAGAGAGGTTAAGTGAGAGAATAAGCACAGTAGCAGCCTTTTAGTTTGTTAAAACAGATTGCTCATTCAGTTGCCGGTGACGCGCGAGGGAAGTGCATTTCCATTTCACCCTGTCTGGAGAGGAGATGCACGACAGCTTCTCAGATGTCTTAAAAGATGCCAAACATTTGGCTGATTCCACAGTGAAACAATAGAAACTGCACTGCAGATACATACGGACTGAGCTTCAGATTTGCCTAGCTACATAAACCAGGAGGGCTTCGTTCATCCCTTGCACTGTAAATTGCAGCGTAGTTCTGTTCTTCAGGATTCTGTTCAGAATCCAGTAACCTAAAGGTGCAATTGAAAAAACTTAGTTGTCCACTCATGGTCTTGTTTTTTTTCCCCACCTTCACAGAAAATGAAGGAGTATCTGGAAGGCAGGAACCTGATAACGAAGCTCCAAGCCAAACACGACCTTCTTCAGAAGACCCTGGGAGAAAGTGAGTCTGGGACCCGCTCGTCACTGCTGTTAGCCAGGCTGTGGCACTTACTGAATTAGTCAGCTGACCGAGCGTAACAGTCTTGGATTACTGATGCAAAGTGGACGTACTCATGTTTTATGAATTCACTTTTCCGATCTGCATGATGGGGAAGCCAAATGACCTACACGGCTGCTTGATTAATGGTGAACGGAAAATGCTTAATGAATCGCTAATGTGCATCGCTTATCCGTTAAAATGGAGCGTATGCCCACTCATTCATCCTGTCCTCTCCCCGTACACGCACGTGCTGCTTCTCACTTAATAATCTGTGTTGGGGTAAACCCGGTGATTTCCAGTTTTCTGATCAGTTGAGGAGTATTGCCGTGTTAGGCTGGTCGGCAGTTTCCCTTGCGTGGTAGTTCAGCTGCTTCTCACCGCTGTGGGTTCAGGCCAAACCAAACTAATGTATGTGAGCACGGGTTTTATTAGGCGAATAACAAACAAATTTCAGAGCATGTAAAATATGTTGCCTATCTAGAGGGCATTAGTCAAGGGGCAGCAGCCAGAACTGAATATGCATTTGCTATTAGTGTCAGAACAAAGGAAGATTTCTTTCCCTTCATGGTATGGGCAAATCCTGTTGGCCAAACACGCTTAAACTATGCATCCAAGTTTCCATAGAAACCTGTCTGCCTCATATTTGCAGAGGAGAAGGTTTTAACAGTCTAAATGTCAGGTCAAAAAATGGCTCAACTCGTTCCTGGGTTTATAGGCTGGAGCAGGGCTCGTGTTTTGATATGTAACTTAACTGGACTCCCCACAGTTTATGGTGTGCAAATCTTCTGAATGAAAACTTAAACAGCATGTGGTCTTTGAAGTGTTTTGCTTTCAGTTTAAAAATGCACTATAAAAATAAAATACTTATTGCTACAGTAATTAAGAGTTTCATGTTTATCAGACACAAACCACTAGAAGGTAAGGGAAGGATGTTGCCATCGTTTTGAGCTTTATTGTTTAAAGTTGCTCGTCTCTTCAGCTGTCCTGTAGAAAGGATGGATGAAGCCAAAGCTCTGTGTCCTCAGGGTAGTTTTCTTCTGCCTCTGAATATCTCCAAATGACACCCATGCTGCCCCTGTGACTAATCACATTCCTGGATCATAGCTGACCTCTGCATACCGAGACCTATTTCCTCTTAACCTGCCTGCCCCTTGAACCCATCTCAAGCTGTGGTGGGGGGAAAGAAGAGGAAATTAAATGTGATTTCTGTATTGCTATGTAGATTTAAAGACTGCTTCTGTTTTCTTGCGGTTGCTTTGCAAACCAGAGCTTTCTTAGTCGCTCTGTGAAGGGTCCCAGTGTGTGTCAGGGTAAGCTCCAGCAGCTTCTGAAAAAAAATCACTTCTGTCATCTGTGAGATCAAAAGGAGCTGAGAAAGGGAGGTACATTTCATCTCCAAAACCACATTAGCAGGTTAATGGTACAAACTGGGGACTGTGCCTAGACTTATCCATAAAATGTCACTTAATTGGGAAATGGGCAAATAAAGTTCGTTTCACAAGTCCCTGGAGCATGGTTAGAAGCTTTACTGAAAAATGTGCGTACAGCTACATGTCTTCAGTCCCTAGAAAATTCATGTTTTTGTTACAATTTTCATTCTTTGCCCCATCCTCAGGTGACATTTATTAGTCCTCTTGCAAATTACCTTAATCTAAAGATGACAAGTTCCAGTAATAAAAATAGCAGCAAGTCTTCCTATTCTACAAGTAATTATGTCCCTACCTACTGTACACATTTGTCACCCTAATGTAGGAGCCCCTTGGTGTTGCCACAGCCATGTAATTTATATATATGAATATTCTATGATGGAAGTGGGACAGATGGCTAGAAATTCTGCTTCAGAATAACATTTTCATGTAAATTATGCACTGTTTTGGCTTTACGTGGGGAGAGGAAAGTGGCTATCGAGATGTGTTCAGCTAATTGTCAGCCATCAGCAATTAGACATTTCCCTCTTTCATTCTTCCATCTCCCCAGGAGCAGGAAGACAACTGTAGGGAAGGTGGATTTTCAGCTGTTGTAAATCAGTATGGTTTCGCTGATGATGATCTGTACCAGCAAAAGATCTGGCCTGTACAATTCCCAAAAGGCACATACTAGTTTTCTGTCTCTCTTACTCCTTGTTGTGCTATTTTAAAATGATGCCTGCATTAGCCGTCGTTGTTAACTTGGCTGCTTCCTTGCAAACTCAGTGCAAGTTAATGGAACGTTTTTACAAATATGTTTGTGGAAAATATCATTAAACGTCTGTCTCCCAAAATAGCTTAATGCCAGCACGTTCGGTCTGTGGGCTAGCAAATCTGTGAATGTTTTCAGTCTTACTAAGTGGCTTTATAAAGTATAATCTCTCGCCCCACCGATTCCCCTGGGAAGGGGGAGGGAGGGAGAGGTTGACAAGCCCAGTTTTTTGGCAGCAGGAGTCAACAATTAGAATGCACAGGGAACTAATTTGCAAAAACAATACTTTCCAAAGAAAGAGTCCTCGGGCAGCCCGAGCTGGTTGCTGCGTTTCCTGGTCGGCTGCGGCAGAGCCGTGCGGGCAGGGACGGCCCTTGGTGGTCGCCACAGCAGCGCTGCCGGGGGAGGCAGCCACTCTCCGGCCCCCCCAGAGCTGCCCTCTCCCTCTCCCATGGTTTTTCCCCTTGCAAAACTGGCTTTACAAAACCATTGAAGTGATTTTTCCCATTCCTCTCTCCTGATGTTGTATTTCTTTGTCTTCTTAACAGGTCAACGGACGGACTGCTCCCTTGCCAGGTAGGTGTGGCTCAGGGGATCATGTTTTAAGGAAAAGCTGATGCAAATTGGTCTCTGCCATTCTAGATCAGTTACCAGCCCAGGATATGTATCTGTTAGAAAAATATGTTAATTTACCTAATATATAAGCAAATTCCTTCTGGTTAATATGGCTTTAAATACCACCGCTGTTACCTACATCAGTGCAAGGTAGTGGCACAGCTTATACCTGTGTTTAGTAACCTCTGGTCAGCTGAATAATGAATATTTCTTTGGATGCAATGCCTGTTCAAACACCTCTCCTTGCTTGTTGCCGCCCTGTGCAGCCGCTGCAGTTGTGACCGTATGACTGCGGGCAGAGCTGCCTGTTGCAACGAGTTGGGAAAGAGGTTGGGGCTAAAAATAACCGAAGGACACAGGAAAAAAGATACGTGGAGGTCTTGCATTTTTTTTTTTTTTTTTTTTTAATTATTTTTGCCCTGGTGCTTTTAATCCGGATCAGGAAGTGGACAGGCAGGTGTGAGAAACTGTTTAATTTGGCACTGTCACCCAAAGAAATATTCTTCAAACTACTGAGGTTTTTATAAACGCGTTTCTATTTCTGTAAGGGAGTTGGACCCAGTGACTCTGCAGGATTTATCCACATGGCTGGTGTGAGGGGCCGAGTAACATAAATCAGAAAACTCTTTACCCTGTTGATGCTCTCTGGAACTGGATTGCAGCAGTATAGAGGTCATGGAGAATAAACTTTTCATTTATAATTAGGACCAATCACAGAACCATAACTAAGCTTCTCCTGTGGGGTTTTTATAAAACATAACAAATCTCCATCTCCAAATTGATGGGTTCAAGGGGCTCCGCTGGGCACAAGGAGCTGGAGTAGGGGCTGTGCATCATCCTGCCTTGTTAACAAAAGGAAGGTGATTACTACCGATCTGGAGTCATTACTACTTTTCACATTCCTTACAGCAAAGCAAAGCTGACAGGTCCTAATTAGAGCCTGACATCTGTAATAATAAAATATTATTCATCATGAAACAATTTTAAATATCAAAGAATCATTACTGCTAATAGTTTAAAATAGACCTTATTGTCTGTGACAGCACATGGAATCTGATTTCTTTTTTTTTTTTTTTATTCTGTGTTTTTCATTTTTATAAAAGGAATTTCCTCTGAATTAACACATTGTACAGTCTTTTTAAAAATCACAGTTCTAATCACCTTATTTATAATTCAGCAGCCATCTGCCCTAGCAGAGAATTGGCTTGAATGATGCATTAGGGCCTCTCTACTATCATCTCTCATACTTCATTTTTACAGGAAACTATAGGAATTTTAAACCCCAGTAATAAATTTTGAGGGCAGAAATCCTGGCAAAGCAAGGCTTTTCCCTGTTTTTCTACAATTAATGTCTACCAACATAAATAAATGAGACCATCATGGTTTATACTGAAAAGGCTTAGCCCTGGTTAGTGCGTGCTGGTGTTTGAGGGGGTTTGTGTTATTTATTTATTTGAAGTCTTAGCAGCAGCTATAATAAAGACTCCACGATGGCAGCTGTTAACAGCACAGTAGGAACCAGCACGCTCCCACCTGCTTCTCCCCTCTGCAGAGTGGCTCTTTCAGAGAACAGCTATGTGCAATTTGTAACAAACTTCATCTTGAACAAGGGGGCCTATAGAACAGATTTCCATATGGTTGGGATTAAAATGTCGAGGGTAATCTTTTGTCAAAGCAGTGGACTCCCTTGTGTCTATTTCAGGTTTTTAGTGATTTAAAGTCACTTAAAATCTTTCTGAAGTTCCGTAAATTGAATGAGACCAAGTCATGATGATTGACTTGTATATCTGGCTCCTTCCCTCCTCCAAAATACGTGTGATTTGGAATACCGAACGAACGAACCGGTGATAGTAGGAGATTACCTTGACTTTTCTGTTCTGTTTTTCCCTCCTGCACCAATGGGCTGTTCTGATCGTCACATCAGCGGCAGACGCAGCTCCACCATAAGGAAGCAGGTAATAAACATTTCCTCAGGTAACAAAACAGGGATACACGTGTGCTTGTGTAGGGGAGGATTGATGGAAAACAGGGAAGTGTTTTTATCATTCCTTCCCTCCCTCTCTTACATGGACCTTTTGCTTGAGTCTTGCTCAAGTGGAACTGATGTCTGCTTGTTCAGTCTGAAATCAGTCAAACGCAGATCCACAGCCTTGATTCGTTTCTTTTAACAAAATTTAAAAATAATTTTACTCTGTCTCTTGACAGACCTGAAACCAAAAATGCCAAACAGCCTTGAGCTGTCTGGACATTCATGGTTTATGAGTTTCATGCTGTTGCTTCTTTGTCCCCTTTCCCTTTATTTTCACCAGTATCTCATGGCAATGCTATTAAACCAGTAACTGCTCACTTGTTGTGCCTTCTTGTAATAAAGACTTAGAACAGCGATGCTTTGTTTCCCTGGCTGTGGTGGATAATCTGTTACTTTTTAGACCCCGATGAGCTAAAATGTGTTTCTCTGAGGTAGAGAAAAACCAAAATATTTCTTGTTGATACTGTAAAGACAGAATCTGGCTTGGAATTTCATTTCATACAGTCTGTCTTGGGGTGCTGATTTGTAATTTTTAGAATCTCTGTATATTGGAAATTAAGAGTGCAAGTTGTGGTTTTGGTGTGCAGAGTCAAACCTTTCTCATTTTCTGAGCTTAATTGTTGTTCCTTCATTTATGCTCTAAAAATGGTCCTTTGCTATGCTGAAAATAAAGTATGTGCATGTCTTGATTGCCATTTTCACAAAGTAGTTTTTGAGATGTCTCAGAAGCATATTCTGACTTGGTTCTCCGATTTGGAAACCTAAATGAAAAACTAATCTGTTCACAAGCACTGAATCCACAGCTCGCAGTAACCTACGTGAAATCACTTGTGTGTGGTTTTAATGGGGCTTTTTGATTGTGACCTGACAGTTTAAAACGTAACTGCTCAGAGAGTATTAATCTCTGCTGGGGACACAGAATAGGTGCTTCTCTTTGAGTTCTTACTGTCACACTCAGAAATAAGTCTGGGAGGTTATAATGCTGTTTGGATGATTATTAATAAAGTATGTCCTCAGGGGCCAGTTGAGCGGCAGAATGGCTTCTGAAGTATTCTTAATTGGTTGGTGTTGTTCTGTACAGTGTATAGAAAACTAGTTGTAACTGGCTGTAGCTAATTAGTAGGTAAATTATTGTCACTATATGACTAAGTCCTATGACATTTCAATAAAACAAAAAAAAAACCATTAAACCTAAACAAGTTAGGAAAATGGTTGAACTGTTTTGTTTTTTATATATATATTTATATATATTTTTGAGCAGAGAACTGTCACTTTTTTGAACTGATCAAAATACGAGACTGTAACATCCTAACAAGTGAGAATTTTGATATAAATTGGAGGCATTGCTGTCCAGAACTACTGTAGGAGTGGTTATACGTAAACACAAACTTGGAAGTTTCAATCATGTGGTAATTTTAATTGCTGGCATCTGACCTTAAGCAAACTGCAGCACTTCTGTTACTTAGTGGCTGCTTCCCAAGATGGGAGGAATAACTGCAGACATTGCAGAAATTCAGTTGTCTGAAAAGTAATCTGTGTTCCTGTGAAGCAGAGGCTAAGGAATTGTAAAGGCTTGTTTCCGTGCTGAAAATCTCAACTGATGTTGTTTAAGCTGGAAGCTGGCAATCTGGAAGGTCTTACTGTGTTTGTGCCTTGGAGTGATGACCGTGTTTTCCATGAGCAGATTACCTGTGTGGTGCACCTGCACCTTATTTAATGGGTTGTGACCATACGGCACTGATGTGCTGTTTGCTAAACACGTCTGGAACTGCGTGGAAGCAGATGAGGGGACAAATTTGCCTTTCATTCTTTTCCCCCCCCCCCACCCCCTCCACTTTTACCATCACTCTACATTCTGACTGCCGCTCTTGTTTAAATTTCTTTGCGCAGGATTCCTCACAAGCCATCCCCTTAGTCGTGGAGAGCTGCATACGGTTCATTAGCAGACATGGTGAGTTTATGGACAAAAGGTGTCCTCTGATATTTCTATGAAACGAATGGTGATGTAGAAGCTTTCTGAAAAATGTTCAGAGTAGCTCGGGACGCACTGCGGAGGAATCCTAGAGACTGCAAGATAAAGTCACACTGACTTTATGGCTATATTGTTGGTATGGAGTATGTGATCACTCTTCCAAATAACGGACCTTGCAAATGTTATTCTTCCAATAACATCACTTTGTTTCTTGTAAAATAAATCTCCCATCCTTAGATACCACTCATACCTCACCTCCACTCACCTTGCTTTGAGCCCTGAAATGTGGCCTTCAGCACCAATAATCACGTTCTTCCTAGAGGAGGAGGAATACTCTTAAGTATTTGAATGTAGGAGGTGAAGTAGTGAATTAATTGCTTGCTTACTTAGTGCCACGATGAGGTGATTTATACCTGTCTTGCCGGTTAACTTCAGAGCCTTGAATGCTGTAAAAGATTTTATACGGTTATTGTAATTTGTTTTCACTTTTAATCGATACAATTTGTTAGTAGCATGTGAAACAGCTGTTAATTAACATATGTAGAAAGAAGCTGGATTTATCTTCATTAACCAAGACACAGAGCCAGATAATAGGCCCCGTTTCATTTTCCTTGTTTAATTAACATTTTAGAAACTATAATCTGGAGTCCCATTCACATCATCATCACTTGGAAGAAACAATTGCTGTAATCCTTCATTAAGGCCAGACTTGGACATTTGCTGGAGAAATCATTGAAACCACGTTGCGATGCAAACCGACACACAACAAATCAGGGCCATCAGGAGATTTCATTTTTTAGACTTATGTTCCTGGGTTAGCTTAGATCCTCAACAGAAAGATTTTTCCAACAGACTCAGCTGATTTCTGCACTGAATGTCAGATCATGGCGTAAAGGTACAGTCTGGAGTCAGAAGGAATGTGCTTTTATACGACAAGTCCATGTTAGGCAGAAGAAATGATAAAACTGCCTGCCTGACGCACTTACACTGCAGGAATTAATTTTGTTGGAAGTAGCCTGACTGACATTTCTAAATGTTTTGCTGTGTAGGTGTGGGATAAATGTCATTTTCATTCTTGCTTCTCTGCATTTGCGATTGTTTCTTTTCACTGTTCATAGCTGTGTGTCACAGCTACCAGATACAGCCACGTACTGCAAAGGTTTCGTTGCGTTTGCAATAAGAAGAGTCACAGAAATTGAGAGGAAGAGGCCACAGATGCATTCAAGAGAGCTTATTAGTTTATAGCCATTCTTATAAATAAAGCAAAGACATTGCAACATTCCTTGTTTCAGGAAGTCTGCAGTTCAAAGGCTTGAGTGAATGGGAGTTGATTCCCCTTCATGAAGCATATACTTTGTTCATTAGTTGATTTGTAATGGTTGTTTCTCATCTTACATGTACCAACAATATTGGTATGATGGTAGTATATTGGAACAACTCACGTACTTGATAATTGGTTTTAATGACATTGCTAATGCTTACTTTTTAGCAGGAATGTCTTAAAGACTAGCCTAAAACCCTAGATAGCAGGTCGTGCTGGGGTAATTAAATGCTTCCATTTCAGCTGTCTGATTTGCTCTGGGCCTTTGTGGTATCGCTTTTGCAAAATAAACTGCTTCCTTCTGTAGTTAGCCATATTTTACTTCTGGCTGATATACCGTTAGTTTATGACTTTCTCTGGGTTGTAAAATCCTTTGGGGAACCTTCAGGGTAAAAGATAGCATGCATGGCTGTTATAACCCAGTTATTCTGTCAGTTTACAAAGAAGGGTTAATATTTTTTCTTCATGTGCTGAGTTCTGTTTTTACATATTCTTTCTGTATGTGCCTGGACACAGAAGGCAAGGATGGCTTTTAAAACAGCATACTTTTGCCTGTGTTGCTTATGTTTCCTTTATCATAGATGCTGTAGCTGGTGAATGTGCCAGCTTATCTTACCTTATAGTTATCAACATCTCTTACTGTCTTACAGGTTTGCAGCATGAAGGAATATTCAGAGTGTCTGGGTCACAAGTTGAAGTGAATGACATAAAAAATGCGTTTGAGAGAGGTAAGGAAGATCTCTTCCAGTATCTGAGAAATTATTGCCAAATGTATGAATTTATTTAAATATTCTGAACCAGCCTGCTCTGAATGCAACTTGCTATATCCTGGTCTTTTGATTTTTGTGTTTCCTGGGTGAGTCTAGCCCAAACACTTCCCTAGTGCTCATTAACCTTGAATACTCCCTTGTTTGGCATTATGCTTTATATCTTTTAGAGTGTCTGTGTAATAAACATTCCGAATTCAATCTTCTCTTGTGTCTGATAGTTTATTGATTATTTGTAACACTAAAGGACACAGAGAACTTCATTATTGCGTATAACTGCGTTTTCCTACCCTCTCCCCCTAGCTCTTTGTGAACAGGCTGGCTGCTGGAGGGTGAGATTTTGTTTTCCATGTTTTTAAGGCACAGCTTGGCTACATTTATTCCAAATATCAGCAAGCAATGGAGTGAATTTCAAGACACTGTTAATTTGACATAGCTTTTAATAGATTTGATTTTCTGTGTCAAGAACCATTCCATACAAAGGCAAAGAACAGCTGGGAGTCTCCTGACTCATCAGCTTCTAGCTGGGCTGTTCTCCCCAGCAGAGCAGGTTCGGAGGAGCTTGCTCTTCAGGCAGTCCGTGCAGCCCGTCTCCCCAGTCTTGCTTGGGTCACTGTGTGTTAATTCCCTGAACACATCACTCTAAAAGAATATAGTGAGTGTGTTTCTGTGCCTGCTGTCGGAAGAGATGAGCAGTAATTAATTAGGCATCGCAAGTTTATTTTGCTTTTGGGAGTACAGAAGTTTAATGAACAGTGCGTGAAATGTGGCATCTAATTTCACCTGTATTCATCTACCTGAGAATTAAAATCCTCAAGAATAGAGGAAGCAGAAATGTGTGTCATAGGCTGCAGGTAAAGTCTTGATATCAGAATCAGACACCTTTTTTACAGAAAGGAAATACCAGTCATCTGGGGAAAATAGCCAGTTGTTCTAGCGCTAACGTGCAGAAATAAAAAGGTGATTTTCTTAATTATTATTATTTTTTTCCCTTCATCTCACTTGTCTCTGTAAAGCATATGATATACAGAACTGACAAAGTTAACAATAATGTCTCTGCAGTTTATTACTTCATCCAGAACCCTTGGTGGCAGTTAATATCAAGGATAATGCTCCGGTTTGTAGTGGCCCATTTATTATCCTGTGTGCTATTAAGATAATAGGCAAGCTTTGGTAATTTCAGTCACATAATGGATATATATAGCTTCAATTTGAGGATTGCCCCATCATTAAATCTAATTATATCTGATAGGGAGTTTTCCCTAGGGAACAACTCCTTAAGTGGGCATCTTTTCTTCTGTAATACAGACAAACTGGCATATCTGCAGCGACAAATTATCTGTCCCAGAAACACTCCCCCCACCCCAACAATTCAACATAAGCTGCCTGCCTCCTGCGGAGCCCAGTGTGCGGTGCTCAGTGGCCTCTCACGCCTCCACTGAATCCACCTTAGCTTCACCTGTGGGTTTGCATAAGCACCTGCTCCTGGGCTCGTGTGCTGTTCCCTTCTGTGGTGGACCTGTGAAGTTCACACCTGACCAAAATATCTGGAGCACAGAGCCTGGAAGCATTGCTACTGCTCGAGGAGCAACACCACCCTCCGTGGGCGTGAGCCAGGCGCTGCCGTGTTGGGCTGTGATCTGACAGAAGGCTGCCCCAGGTCCCCTGGGACTGCTGTCAGAGGCGTCCCTTCTCGACTGGGATGCACGAGAGAGATCTCTCTCTACCTCACGCTGGTTGTAGTGCAGTTGGAGTAGGTGGGATTAACTCTGTGCTGCATAAAGCCTTTTCTCCAGCTGAGGTGCATCCTTCCAGTCTGATACTTTTCTCCAGTATTCTGATTTTCTTGCCTGCTTTTCTTTGCTTGTCACGAAGGGGAAGATCCACTGGCTGGGGACCAGAATGACCATGACATGGATTCAATAGCAGGAGTTCTGAAGCTCTATTTTCGAGGGCTGGAGCACCCTCTCTTCCCCAAGGATATCTTTCATGATCTGATTGCCTGTGTCAGTAAGTATATGAAGATCTGAAAAGAAACAGGATTAATTTTTCAAATCTCCTGCATTTCTCTCCTCCCTGACCCCTTTTTCCTCACTCCAAGATAAGCTTTTTGTGGTTGCTTTGGTTGGGTTTGTGTTGCACTGCTACTCTAGTCTCTATTAGCCAGAGTCTGGGCAGTTACCTGGTCACAGCCATCCTTACTCTGATAGCAATTTTTTTATGAATGAGCAATGAGGTAGAAATGAATAGATTGTAAGGGCTGTGTCAGGGATTTTTTCTGAGACGGTGCTTCGTGACTTGAATAGAACAAAAAGCTCCGCTTCTGAAAAAGGATCTTTAAGCCCTCTTCTCATCAGAAGGTGTCAGAGATGCCCTCTCAGACGCAGGGATTGCCAGCAGGGTTTCCTGTGCTGTGTGCTTTCCCTAGCACTGAGACACGCACGCTGCCTGCGTGTCTGCTGCCACGCTTCCGCACGCTCTCCAGAGCTGGCGAGGTGATGGTCATGCAGCTCTCAGCTTCATAACCACGAGAGGCCATTATTGACTCCTGGTAAAGTATGTCAGTCATGAGGGCAGTCACAGTCGAGTTGTTAACATTTTTGATGGTTTCTAAAGGTGATTTTGGTAGGCAGAGGGTTGTTTGGGTTGGTTTTTTTTGTACATGAGCAACCTCATTTTAAACGGCCTGACTATTGCCATGTCCTTCAGAATCAAAGAATGATTCTATTGTCCAAGTAGTGAAATGGCCTTTGCAGTGGCAGCCTTTGAAGTAAAGCAGAAGATAACTGCTTCTAAAATGGCTCGCCGTTTTCTTCTCCTGATAAATGCATTTACAGAGTCGAATTCGCATTATATGAAAAGTAAAATCTTCTTCCAAATAAGTTCTCCCTTCTGAGATGATTTATGCTGCCCACTTATTTCTCAGTAGGCTGCTGCACACAGAGCTTTTTGCCTCACCCTTTAACTATGTTAATTTTCCTTTGAGTGTTATACAATTTCTTTTTTAAACACCCACTTTTCTAAGCTAACTTGAATGAGCTATTGTGCCAGAACTATTGAAACAGATGACATCCAGCGCTCCCACGCTAGGAAGGAACTTGCAATGAAGTTTCACGTGTTCAGGGACCTTCGTTGGCAAAGGCTTCGCCAGCAGGTTCTGCAGCCTTTGCTTTCCCATGCCAGGCAGCGCCGGAGGATCCGGGAAATGGGCAGAGCCGTCCCTCCTCCTGCCACTGCTCCGCTGGCTGCCCGGCTTCATGGTTTGCACTGGAGCCATCATAGCGTGCTGGTTGCATTTGGGCTCGGTGGCAGGTGGTGGGTATGGTGGTACAATGACTCTGTGGTGCTTTTTCTTCCTTTCAGCAATGGATAATTTACAAGAGAGAGCACTCCACATCCGGAAAGTGCTTCTAAACCTGCCGAAGACCACTCTGATTGTAATGAGATACCTCTTTGCATTCCTCAATCAGTGAGTATCCTTGAGAGCACCATGGCCCTGCTGTAGGATTTGGTATAAATATGATAAACGGCAGAACCAGCCTTAGTGTTGCTGCATGTGATCTGAGCAACAGGTCAAGGTACAAATGCCACAGCAGCTTGCTATTGCATCTGCCTTCCTGGGCTTTTCAGCCTTGACAAAACTCATCCCAATGGTATGAGTTGGATCTCAAAGGAGTTCCAGAAATTAAAGTGAACAATGTTCTGTTAATCCAAGCAAAAAGCGACATGAAAGAGTCAGAAATTGGGTTCCACGCCAGCAAGAAGAACTACCTACTAAGTAGTGTGAGTAGTGGAAAGTGAATCTATTCTTTTTTAAAAACAGTCCGCTGCATCTGGCTGGTTCATTGGATAGCTTGGCAGCAAGGAGTCAATAGTTTCCTCCAGTAACATGGTCTTTGACACATGAGGTAGCTTAAAGGAAAAATGTCCTGACCAGAGGGTTATATATACATTGTCAACGCCCTTTGGGTACCATTTAGGTGAAAGAGAAATATGGCTGTAAGACAATATTTTGACTTAACAGACACCTGAGGCTTACTGTCTGCTTTTGTAAAGCTCCAGTTCATCAGCGACTTTTGGTGAACATCTTACTGCTTACATTAAAGTGAGAGAATGTTGGGGTTTGAGGTTTTTCTGGAAGATTTGTATTAAAATGAAGCAGGAACATGTACTAAGCATATCTGTATGTTCAAGTGGTTATTTCTGTTTGGAAAGCAGGAGGTTTGTTTCACAGATGTCACTGCTGGAGTCACTGAAATGTGACTTTCCAGTCTCAGTAGCTTTCAATTATTCCAAGTAGTGATCTAGAAAACAGGGAATTTCAAGGGGAATTGTATTGGAACTTAGTTTTCTGTTCCATCTTTAATTGGTACATGAAAGGTTTAAATGGTAGGTTTGGCACAAATCTAGTAAGATAAAAATTGTGTTTTACAACATGGCACCATATAGAAACTATAAGATTCATATTTGCTGGGAAATCCTGAAGAAAAGTGCCCCAAAAAGGCCCACTTGAGAAGCTCCTGGGCCTTGGAGAAAGGATGTAACACTCTACACACTTGATCATACACTCTTAGGCAGAGGGGACCTGATAAAATTCTGGTATTGAGCGTTGGGCTGCAAGTGGGTTATGAACAACAATACAGAAGAATTGAAGGGTAATGTCCTCCCCTTGTAAAATCAGCATCCAGTACTTGTTACATAGTCTTGAGCTTTCAAACTCCCTTTTCAGTTTTTATTTCATTTCTCTGTAAATGCCATCAGGATCTCATTTTTTACACAGACCCAGAACATTCATGTCCCAGCTGATGAGCTTTAAACAGCAGAAAGCCCAAAGCAAACTCTCCAAGCTCAGCTGTGTGTTCTCCAGCAGATGATGATGATGATAATGCTGGTTTCTGCTGTTAACCCTCCTCCCCACTTCTGTCTGTTGCAGTTTATCTCAGTTCAGTGAAGAGAACATGATGGATCCCTACAATTTAGCCATCTGCTTTGGGCCAACACTGATGTCTGTGCCTGAAGGTCACGATCAAGTCTCTTGCCAAGCTCATGTCAATGAATTGATCAAAACCATCATCATCCAACATGAGAACATCTTCCCAGGACCAAGGGAGCTGGAGGGTCCAGTCTATAGCAGAGGTGGAAACACCGAGGATTACTGGTATGATAGATGCCACTGAGGAGATGAATGGATGGATATTTATTTACAGATTAGCATGCTACAGTCATGAGTTCTGCATTTTCTAATTCTGGATTCAAGCATCTGGCCCAGCCTTTCAAAAATCTGTTTTATGAAAGAGGAGATGGCTCTCGTATCTCTGGAGAGTCATCAACTTAAAAGAAATAAGCTGGTAGAAAGTAGCTATTCAGTTGTCAAACCTAACTCACTTATCTTGAAGGGTAAGGTTGTGTAGGGATTTTATTGGATGTTCTGGTATGATAGCTGCCAAAATCAATCCCTCTTTCCCCCCCTCCCCTCCTTATTTTCTCCTGCTTTGCCCTTTTTTTTTCTGCTTGTCTTGAGTGCCTTTGCTTTAGACACAGGGGTCACTTGCAACTGAACCTAGAAAGCTGTGGCATGGTTTAATTTTCAGGGCAGCACTGATGGTGGGGGAGGGAAGAAGGAGGAATGCAAAATCACCATTTCCATCCAGCTTAAAGCTCCAGAGGCCCGGCCGTGTGTTCAGTCTGAGAGGCACATCTGGAAGCAATTCAGTCAGAGCGGCTCCTGTCATCTGGGGTGGAAGGTGGGGAGTGGGGGAAGGAAAGGAGGTGTTTTCTTTCCTACTGGCCAAGCTGATCTCTCCCTCTGAAAATGAGGAATGTTAAATTGTGTCCTGCTTCTCCCCCTGCTCCTTCCCTCCTCCAGTGTCCCAGGAATGCAAATGATTATTTTCATATACTAAAATAAATACATTTTTTAAATGAAGTCACTCTGGTGACAGAGCTAGCCTTGTTTCCCTGACTTGTTTCAGAGAAGCTTTAACTATCAGCTCACTCCATGTACGTGCAGTGAGGAGAGGCTCCTCTCCACTAACTGCTGTGTGCAGTCTTGCCAGAGCCTCTTCTGGAAATTCTGTTAATTTTACCCTTCACTCTGATGTTTTTAGCTGATGCTATATGTGAAAGAATTGTTGAGAAGAAAAAAAATTAAGAATCTTTATGACCTTAAGGAAACACATTCATTTTGACAAAAGGTGACCTTAAGGAAACACATTCATTTTGACAAAAGGTTTTGTCCCACGAGGTGAAGGGGATAAAAATGTGAAGCGTTCAGTACAGTCAGCGTGGGTGACACTTCATATGAGTATATAGGAGGCAAAATGTCCTGGAAGGCAATACCAATTTTCTGAAGGCATTTGGCTTTTCTTCATTGCCCGTCCTAACCGTGCTGACCGGAGACGCTGTTAAGCAGAGAAGGGTAGAAGCAAGCAAGGGAGACCGCTTAGTAAAGCCGGGAAGGAGCATCTGGTTCGCATCGGAGCCTCCTTGTAGCCCTGGTACTTCGCCAGTCATCGCTCACTGCCCGCAGCTCCGTGCCGCCGGGCGTGCAGGCGGCAGGGTGAATCCTTGCCGTCGGGCTGTGCCTGTAATCGCCCGGTGCCCTCTCGGGCAGAGGAGGGCAGGGCAGGGCTCAGAGTTGACGACAAATTCAGGGCTGGGCTGCAGGCGGCTTTGGAATACTGCCCTTGAGCCAGTCCTGGGACTGCGCTGCATCTGTCTGCCCATCCGAGGCTGCACGAGGAGAGGAGTCCGGCAGTCCTGCGTACCGGCGAGTGGGACCAGCGGGCTTGCGGGGGGAGCAGATAGCTGATAGATGCCCAGCTTGCACTGCAGTCCACTGGCTTGCACTTTCAGAGCCCTCAAGGTGAAACCCAGCAGCCTAGCACTACCCGCTGCAGCATCCTGGGGCTTGCATGACAGACAGACTGTCTGCAGCAAGAACAGGGTTTTTTTGGTGGAAAGTGCTGTTGGAGGCAGGGCTAGGAAGAGGCGCGTGGTCTTTGTGCAGCACTTGGATCTTTAGTGTTGGCTGTATGCGACATTACTTCACAGTCTGTGTGAAACTTTAGCCCTCAATGCCGTGCTCCTCCTGGGACCTCCTTTTGGCTTCAAATTCTTCTGTAAACTTTATTAAGTAGCGTAAAGGATGGGAAAGGTTGATGCCTGAGGTACTGACTCAGAAGGTGGTGGGGCAGCTTCGTGTCATGTGAATTAAGCATAACGAGACGCCAGAATTGTTCAAACGTGTTACCCCTTCTTCTTTTTCTTTTTTTCTCTTCATTAAGAGAGTACAGAACGTGGATTACCAAAGGGAGAGCACCTTACATCCGTGATCACTTAGTTTAACCGCTGCAAGGTGAAAACGGGGGATGACGTTATTACTGTGTGAATTAAAAATCACCTTTAACGAGTTACAGTGTAAGAGTGCAGCAAACGCGTTTTGTCTTTAGCAACAGCATCTGGTAGGACGAGGAGCGAGCGCTTTTTTTCCTCTAAGAGGAGCAGGCAGGGCAGGCAGGCAGCACTGCCAGCTGGCAGCAGGTCTGCGGAGCTGCCTGGGAGAGGCAATGGATCCTCTTCCAGTTTCCTTTCTGCTCCTGTCCTGAGGGAACTGCTCGTGTAGCTTCTTACAAAAACATAACCTTTGGTTGCCACTTGTTGTCTACTGATCCTTTCAAGGCTTTTCTTCATGCAAACATAAATGAGGAGGCTTGGTGGTTTAGGTGCTCTGTAAATAACGATTCCAGGCAATTGATCTGGCTGTGGGAGTCGTTCAGTGAAATGAATGGGACAATTTAAGATTGTGATAAAAGAGAAGAGGGAGATGACAAACTCAGACCTGGAAATATCATTATGAATTGAGAAATAATTTCCCCCAGGAAGTGGCAGCTATCTCATCATTCGTCTAATGAGCTAATTAGAGCAATGGAGAATACAGCTGACAGAACAGTTCTGGCATGGCAGAGAGGAGCTAGACCCAACATGCCACTGCTGTCTAACTTCTTAACACTTCCAGAGGTCTGGGTTGTAAGATCTGAAGTTGGACTTTCCCGACAGCATGCAGGAAGGTTAATGGGGATGCTCATTTTGCTTGATAAGTAAGAACTTGGCGTGATTTTTAGTCACAGTAACTTCAGTATGCGCAAATGCGTCTGCAAAGAGTCTGTCACAGTGGAACCCAGGTATTCACTTCCGATATGGATGTTCCTAGATAAGTTATCTTTCATTTTTGTAAATGAGGAAACTCGATTTCTACCACCGTAAAGCACCATCTATTTCCTTCTGTTGTAGCGAAAGTCCTCACGGAGAGAGAGCCTCAACAGAAGACTCTGTTCAGGACGTGACGGCTGAACACCACACCAGTGATGATGGTATGCAAAGTCTATTAACTCCTTGGTTAACTGGTGCAACCTGCTGTGGGGGCGGCAGAGAAGGTAGTGCCTTGCAATTTAAGTTCAAAGTTTAGATCCAAAGTGGAGTTCGAATCAGAATAGTCACTTGAAACATCACATACAGCATTTGATGCCAAAAAAATAAAAAAGCATGGGATGAACAGGGATCTTTAGAAGTTACCTGACTACTTTTAAAGTATCCCTTTTTTCAGTGATATCTCATCTTAGCAGCAGGCCTGGGCACACTCCACGCTTGCACGACTGACTGAGCTCATCTGTACCTTAGAAGGATCTCGGAGCCACGGGGGAAAGGCTGGATATGTTTCAGCGTGTGCTCCCACTCCCCTCTGCGTGTGCCAGGCATTTCCCCTTTCAGTAGCTTTGGCAAGGAAATTGCAAGTAATTTAAGCCCCAGTGGTTCTGTTTTCAGGAAGCAAGCAAAATAAAATCAAAAAAACTGTTTGTCTTCCACTAAGAAACAGGTTTTAGGGTAGAGGGTCCTGGTTTTGTGTCCCCTTGGGGAAACTCTCTTATATTTCTTCTCTGATTGGTGAAAAGGGGTGCCAACGCTGAGAATTTCATATTTCCGAAGGAAAAAGTGACACTGCAGTCTTTGAGTGTCTGTTGTTGATGCTTTCAAAGCCTCCTCCTGTAGTGGGGAACGGCTGCGTCTGAGCCCATCCAGAGCAGAGGAAAAGCTTGCTACTGATGTGAAACGGAGATCCCCAGAACACTGGCCAGCATGTAAAGCAGACTGACCAAACTGGGACAGAATATGGTTTTATTCTTGGGGTTTGGCCCCTTGCAATTGTCTAAGTAAATTCTGCCGAGTGTGGTTTACTTGTTATGGCCTTAGTTGTAAAGGTGGGAAGAAGGTAAATCAGGTGGCATCCTTTTTGAGCTGGTCTTTAGGAATTTGCTCAGTAGCCCTGCCACGTGCTCCTGTGCTGCTTAGTGCACTCTTTGCTCCAGCAGTTGCCTAACAAACCTTTCCCACGGCATTGCTGCACTCCGGTTATTCGCACACCAATGACAAAGTAAACGATGTTGAGCACTGCTAGAAACCCTGGGAAATCATTTCTCCCTCAGCAAGGTCGAGCACTGTCACAGCGACTCCTCACCAAGGTTGTTGGGAGGAAACACAAAGCCTTCAGGAACGAAGCACGAGTTCGCCGTCTGTCTTGAACAGACCGTTCTTTCTGAGAAGTGTTAGCTTTTTAATAATGCATGAAAACATGTCCTTTTTGAGTTTGTACCTAAAGAAGAAGCAATTTCGGTGCTGTAATGAAGGAAAGGCTAACTCGTCCCACATCTGTAAAGCCTGGGACTGAAGCCTGCAGGCTGATGCACCATGGTGTGTACTTGCATTGTTTCTGTACGGGATTTTTAGATTGCTTATGTGGCTGAGAGGGTACAGTGATGAGAAAATGAGCAGTTAGAGATTAGAGGAGGACGACGTTTTACAGCCTCTGGAACTAGGTTGCGTGGGGCCCCTGAGCAAGGTAAAATTTGGAGGCGTTTTGGATGGAGTTCTGCAACCTACACGGAATATTCCATACGAAGCATTTGGGAGGGAGCATTTGGCACCGAAGCAGAGGAGGGAGCTGGGCCTCTATCTCTTTGAGGGAGCAGCAAGGTCTGGGTAACTGAGGAGGCTCACGTCCTTCTAATTGAGCTGTGCAGTGTCACACCTTGGGCGTACTTGTCAGAAGGGCAGGGTACAACTCTGTGACTCAGTGGGATGGATGTTCTTAGGTTTTTCTCACTCCTTCAGTTTTTAGACTTGACCAAGCACTGGTTTCTTCTTTAGCTCTTCCGTGAGGCTGGCGCTCGTCCTCCCAAAGTAAAGCTGTCAAAGCTGTCATCCCAGCCACCTTCACTGAAGGAAGGAATCGGTTTTGGGGTGGGGGGAGAGGTTGTGTTTTGCAGAGCATCTGTACAGTTCACAGTCTACCTCGATGTGCAAGTGGACTCTGATTTGAGACAGGCATAAGAGGTCAGAAATGCTGAAAGGCAAGCAGGTCGTACATTCATTAAATTATGTGTATGAGTGGAAAGATTTTAAACTGCTGCTTTCCTGCACAGGCTGTCAGACTGGCAGGGGTAATTGTTTGGCTTAGCCTTATTGCTCTTTATTCATAGAGTGTTCTTCTCTGAGCACAAGTGTAGTAGGAAAAAGCTACTGGAAATTAGAGTCTAAAATCACTTCTCTGGGCAAAAGCCAGAGTCCTAAAAAGCAAATTGGAAACATAAGAAACCTGAGTGCCGCGCTCATCTGGAACAATAAACACTTCTTAATGAAACAGATGGAATTTACAAAACCACACTCCCATCCCCTGCATAAATGGAGGGGGACACCAAAAAAACAGCATTATCGTTTTTTTAGTGTTATGAAGAAGCTGGCTCCAGAGGCAAAACAAGCAAGAGGAAAGAAGGAGCCAAAACCAGATAACCATGTGCTTTGGGGAGTCTGGAGCAAGGCGGCTATCGCGGGCTGCAGACGTGGGCCAGGCTTTTCTCACCCCTGCAATGTCCCGCTGGCTGCTGAGGGCTGATAACGGGATTTGTGTGAGGCCGACCACGGGCTTACCTGAAACGTGTGATTTGACAGAAGTCTGAGCTGTCTGGTTTAGTAATGCAGAAATTAATTGGGGAGAGGGGGTGGGAGTGGGTCGATCTAGCGGATCCTGTTGCTGGTTGCCCCCAGTACTCGGTCACTTCGTGCTTTGTAACTGCAGATGCTGATGGGGCTCTGGTGGGGGATGCCTCTGCTCTGCTCCCTTAGACCAGCTGATGAGACAGTGGAACTGCAGCGTCAGCTCACTCAGATGGATTTATACTACATATTTTCTCAAGCCCAGCTACAACCTTGCCTGCCTGCAGTCTGCCTCGGAAGACCTAATTCTTGAATGTGTGCTCTCCCAAGGAGTATTTGTAAGAGCTGTGGCTCACGTTTGGCCTTCCTTTTTGGCTGGCTGCTGCACTGTAGGAGCTTCCTGTGATGCAGAGGAGATCTCAGGACAAAATGGCTTACCTTTTCTTGTCCTGGAAGATGAACTGCAAATCTTTTTCCCCAGGAAAAAACTCAATTTCCATGGGCTGCTTGGCTGTGTTAAAGCTCCTTTAAAGTAATTAGAGGCTAAAGTCCACTGGGGCCGTGTGGCTGAGCTCATCTCCCTTCCCCTGATGTCTGTCTAGAATTGGGAGCTGGCTTAATAAATATTTAGACTCCACCAATGGCAGATTTTTCTGAGTCTTAAAAATAATCCGCATGAACTTCATATTGATTTTCTCCGAGTGTCTAAATGCCCATATTGTCCCTCTGTATAATATCAGAGTCCTACAGGGCCCCAGATTAGCGGCTGGTTGCAGACACAGCGTGGCTGGAGCTCCTCTGTGAGCTTTCCAAGCAGGAGCAGCCAGATTTGGAGCGCGCTGTGCGGCTCCCCGCGCAGTGCTGCTCTGCTCGGCGTGTGCGCGGTGCAGCCCAGCTGTACGGAGCCCGGGGGAGCCGCTTGCTCTCCTGATCGCTGCACAAACCGTAGCAGTGGAGGCACTGAATGTTTTCGTTAGCTTCCACGACAGTTCGATGAATAGCACGGCCTCCCATGGTGCCAGAATCCGGTCTCCTGGGTCAGGTGAACCTCACAGGCAGCAGAAATTTCCTTCTGAATAGATGCTTTATTTCTGAAGCAGCTTGGAATCAGAGGATGTTTCCCTCCCTAAATGCTAATAACTCCTGCTTGCCTGCCCAGGAGGTTTAGTTTAGCTGCCTTTAAGAAAGCGTACCGTAGGCAGATTTTTGTCTGGAACATACCTGATTGCTACCCAGCTTTGAAATCTTTTTTATTTTAATGAGATACTAATTTTGCCATTGCTATTTCCATCTTCATACACTTGAATTGCTGTAAGTGGGTTGATGCCTTGGAAAACGTGAGTGTGTCCACCACGTATAGATTAGGTAAATGCTGAAATTGCAACATCCTCATATCGCAGGGGTTCCCCTCTGAATCTTGCTGCTTCGACCCTCTGCTACCTTGAGAAGCAACACCTTATCCTCTACTCATGGTCTCGTCATAAGCTGTTTTATGCTAGATTTAAACTGTTGAATACTTACCTGAGCCCAAGTGTTTAGTGAATTGTTGTTTATTCCCTTCTATCTCCTAGAGTGTGAGCCCATAGAAGCAATAGCGAAGTTCGACTACATTGGCAGGACTGCACGAGAGCTGTCCTTTAAAAAAGGAGCTTCTCTCTTACTCTATCAGCGGGCCTCAGATGACTGGTGGGAGGGACGCCACAATGGAATCGATGGCCTTATTCCTCATCAGTATATCGTCGTTCAAGACACGTATGTTACACTTTAAGCCCGTCTGCAAGATGAGCTTGCTTAAAACTCAGGTGTGGAATGGAGTGTTTGTGTCAAGATGTTGACACTAGGTGGGGAGAGTTCATCCTTCGGCCTTCCCTGCAAGAAGGGAGTCCTCTTGAAACAAGCAGAGCTCCGCGGAGGCGTAGGTGTCCACGTATGTGGAGGTGCGATACAAAAATTGTTCTGGTGCTGCCAGCCTGTCAGAGATGCAGAGCTGGGATCTCCAGGTTGCTCGCAGAAATCAGGTGCTCTCACTTGAAAGATATGTCACGATTCTTAAGGGAAAGATGCTAGCACAGTGCTGCTGTCCTGTACGTAAGTTAGCATACACCGTGCTGCATTTGAAATTCAGTGCTGTTGGTCCTGTTTTGGTTGTGATTTCCTTCCTTCCTCCTTCCTAGTGAGGATGGTATCTCTGAAAGATCCAGCCCGAAGTCTGAAATAGAAATAAATTCTGAGCCACCGGAAGAAAAAGTGACTGCTAGAGCTGGCGCCAGCTGCCCGAGTGGGGGTCACGTCGCAGATATTTACCTTGCAAACATCAACAAGTAAGAACAGCCTTGCATTATGTTACTTAACTGTAAAGATCTTGGTGGCGAGTCCAGTAAAATATTTCCTCTGCTGAAAAAGGTTAACTAATGAGCTCTGCTACCATTTTGCTCTGCTTCCTCCTCTTCTAACTTGCTCACATTTTGCTGTCCTCACTCTTTCTCTGTCACCAGTGTGGCCAATGCTCATTTAAAATCCCACTGGCTTCTCTTCCCTATCCCTAAGGTGCCATCTGTTCCCATTTTCCCAAGTATGTCCTATTTTATAAGCTAAGCACACAGAGAAAGGGAGGGGAATAGCAGAATGAATTCTTGTAATCGTGTGTTCACATTCGTTGTTATGTTCTGTGATTTGTTATGTCTTGTTTACATTTAACATGTTTTGTTTTATGGGGTGGGGGACAACTTCTTCAGAAACTAGTGTCACATTTTGTGCTAAATGACATACCTTAAATCCCACCATCTGGCATTGCCCGTAACATACTTCTGTTTCTCCGGCACTTCTCACCTTAGGTTACTAACCATATGCTTGCAGTGAAACAACACACCTCCCTGTTGCTCTAACTTCACCTCCTCAACCAGAAATTGTTACTGTAGTCAACGCTCAGCATAATAAAAAAAACAGGGAAATTAAGCTAGTAACAGACTAAATTTATTGATCTGTTATTTAATTATTCTAGAGCAGATTTATCCCCCATATCTTTCTGATTATTTCATTAGCATTAAAAAAAACCCATCTCTCTCTATTGTGCAGTGAAGGTATTAATATGATAATTATAGTTTTATGGGAGTGGATATTTTTAACCTTCAGTTAATTTAACAGAATGTAGTCTAGGAAGGCATTAACAGAAATACATCCTTTTAAAAGGTTTGGACCTGCTAATGTCCTACACAGAGCCTGGTCCCTAGTTTACGGGAGTCAACAGAGCTCCACTGATACATGTGAAGCTGTGTTAATCTGCATCAGCTTGGGATCTGGGCTTTCGTTTATGATATTTATTGTCTGAGCCATTGAGGTATGCCATTCTGCCAGTTATGGAAAGATTTGTATCATGAACAGACCTATGTTGGAGCTTCACCATCTGCTGGTTTTGGTAGCGTTGTATGTAGTGTTTTTAAGAAGCCGGGTAATGTCCACTCCAGTTTTTTTCCCTTAGTAGGGAAACTGATATTTAGCAATAGTAGCATAAGACTCATTTTGTTGTTTTTTCTTTAGGAATGAATCTTCTGACCTATGTGTGAACAGACTTGGGCAAAATTAAATCAGATGGTTTCGCAATGACAGTTGTGCCACCCACTGAATTATTATTTGGATGCCAAAATCCTACTGGAGTTAACACTTTCTTGCAGTTATTCATGGGGCTGGTGCTATATATAAATGGATCCTTCCCTGTATAATGGATGCCAAGCTTCAGACCTATGGCATAAAGTATTCTGCTGCCTTGGCCTTCGTATGATTTGAGTGGAATTGTGCTGTCAGACTGCATGGTGCTGGGGTAGAAACTAAATTGTTTGGACCAGCTCTTCCATTTGACATCATCTTTTGGTATATCTGTAGCCCTACATAGATAAAGCCTTGTGGTCCTGCTAAAGCAATGAAAAAGAAACATCTGTTACCACCAGCAACTATTGGAAACGATCATTAACCCCAAACGAAGGGGTTCTTTGCTTGCCAATCTCTGAAAATGATAACTTGATGCCTTGGGCCAGGAGCTTAGTAGACTTATACTGTGTCCTCCAGTCAGAAATTGTAGCTCTGCTCTTCTAATGTAATAAAAACACATCATCAAAACCTGTTGATGGCACAGAGGGTTTTTTTTGTTCAAATATAAATTATTTTCCTCTTGACCAAGTTAATTACGTTCCATCCAAGTTTTCTGTTTTTGCTGTGAATGTGCACAGCTGCCAGAAACTCAGTCCTGTTGTTAGAAGTGTTAAACTGGAATGATTTATAATCTTACTGTTTCACGATGACTCCTAAAATCCTTGGGTGTATTTGTAATCTGGGTATCTTTGTCTCTTCCCGTTGTCCTCTGTGTTGTTTTGGGGGGATATCTTCAGATTACAGCCCGTTGTGTGTACCTGCTTGTATTGACTTGTTTTGCTTTTGTGACTGAAGGCAAAGAAAGAAACCAGAGTCAGGCAGCATCAGAAGAGCCTTCCGTCAAAGTGACAGCCATGGACTAGGTAGTTCAATGGCAGAACCAGCCTCCCCAGGAGCCATAGCCGGTTCCAGACCCTCATCTCAGCCCATTATGAGCCAAAGTCTTCCCAAGGAGGTTCCAGATAAATGCTCCATCAGTGGCCACGGCAGCCTCAATTCAATCAGCCGACACTCGTCTCTGAAGAACAGGATAGACAGCCCGCAGATCCGGAAAACTGTGACAGCAGGGAGGTCCAAGAGCTTCAACAACCATCGACCCATGGACCCTGAAGTTATTGCACAGGTAAATAGGAGTGCGTTGCCTTAAAGTTTTGTTTTGGAAACTTGAAGTATGCTGGATACAATGAGATGGTTTAATGCGAGGTCTGATTTGATCTCGTATCCCTTTCCTTCTCTCAGTGCAGTATTAACTTACTACACAGCTTGAGTCTAGTCTTTCAGCCTCGCTTTGTGTAAGTCACTGAGGCCGCTTTCATGAGCGAAGATAAACAGTCAGGTCCTTCCTCCATAAAAACTTGGCCCTGTTCGTTATTCAGAATTTAGTTTCAACAATAAAAACATCCATTTCAGAAAGTTACACAGATTCCAAAGCTGTCAGCAAAAAATTAAACAATCATAACTTCGAGACACGAGAAAAGTAAAGTATTTAGTGTCAATTTAACATTCTCCTGTCAGTTGTGCAAACTTGCCTGTGGTTAGACATTGGAAGCATATGGAGTAGTACAGTCAAAATAAAAGCAGGCTGCTGAGTTGTACAGTGCTCACAGTGGCATCTTTATATGCTTACAGGGTTCAGTGTGTGATTAGAAACCAACTTCGAACATAATACTGCTAGTTTTCATTAGTTATTTATTTAGACAAGTGCCTTGAAATGAGGGCAGGCTACCGATGCATATGCAGCTGTGCTTTCTTTAACTTTGCAAAGAGCCCTGCTGCTGGGCCTGGCTCCACGCGCTGACCGGACAACAAGGACACAGTCTTCTCGGGTTCCTCCTGTGCAGCTTAAAGAGAAAGGTGTTCTTGGCATTTTTCTTGGTCTTTGCTCGTTTTGTCGCTGACTAGTTAATTGCAGATTGGTCGTCTCTGTGCATGTTCTGTGCATCTCTGTACGGAGATCCGTCCCGCCCCTGTGTCAGGATTGCCTTCTGCCGCAGCAGCGACTGTTCACAGCACCACGCGCGGTGTCCTTGCACCCCTGCACCTGTGGTTTCACAGGTAGAACAGAAAACAGACTTTGATTTGAACAAGTGACGGCTACTAGTGGGGCGGATGATGTGAACATTACCGATTTCCCTCTGCCACGGAGGAGCTTCCCTTTCTCCCCCTCCAAGCTCTCCGATGCGCCTGCACATGTGCGTTGCCTGTACCAACTGCTCTGGGTGGGCGATGGATCTATCCAAAGCCAAGGAATGCTTGGGGCTCGGATTACAAAGCCAGCCCTGGGAGACCTGACTCCTCTGCCTGGTTCAGGAGTCTGTAGGTTTCCAAGGAGCTGGGGGAAGATACGTGAAAATGAAACATAATTTTTATTGACAAAACAGCAACACCAAGTAATAAATAAGGTCCAAATAAAAATCTGATATGTATTCTGATGGAAAGTTGTATTTTGCCATTATGAATACCTTTAGCCTGTTTGTTACAGCGGAATTATAATATACAGTTCTTGTTGTCTTCATATTTCATTGTCCTTCCAAGGCTTTGGTGGACATAAATCAGTTTCTTTGTTTTTTCAATTAAGCTCTAACCAAAATTGTTCTGTCTCCTCTTCCTGCCAGAAGGTTAACTCCATTGTTTTCACTGGAGAAGAGTCTGGGGAGAAAAAGGATAGAGGAGGGTGAAAAAAAAAAAAAAAAAGCTGTGTTAAATTAGTGTTTCTCTTTGCCTTGTAGTGTCTGTTCAAACACCATCTAATAATGATCATGCATTTTTCATATTTTCCCTAACTACATAAGTAAAATCTGCCTGGCCTCAAGATAGACTTGGAGGTGTCGGATTACTGTCTCTGGTTTCTTCCACCATTCCTTGACTGATTTACCTTCCCCACCCCCTGAAAAACCTCTGAGGAAGCTAAAAAGCTGTAGCCAAGCTGTGAGTCACAGAAAGGCTGAGCTCTTCTGCTCTCCAGTGAGTTCTGTGCACCAGTGGGCTCCGCAGCGCGGGCTGTAGCAACTGTGTGCGTCCTGCTACAGCTGAGGACAAACAAAGCGACGTTTTTATCTTGAAGTTTTCTTTATATTTACTTGTTAAGAACTGTAAAATTTTATAGGAGGAAGGAGAGGTGCCAACTTGAATTTCTAGATACGTTTCTGGTATCTTCTGTGGTTTCTAAAACATTAACATTTTGAGTCCCATGCAATACCTTTCTGGGTAGGGAAGACAACTCGGACAGCAGGAAAGATAAGAGTGAGGCAGTGAGAGCACACAAGGATTTCATCATTTCAGTGTGGCCCATCAGCCAGTGTCAAAATCATCAATCCTTTCTTCAAGAATTTACCCTCCTGAATCTCCCGAGCCAAATAAAGTACAGGAATGGATCCTAATACTGTGCGCCGCATGCTTTTCTGTTTGTTGCTGCATTTTGGGATTGCCCTCGCCTTTGAAGTCCAAGCAGCATCAGGACCGGTAAAGGACCACATTAGCATCAAGAAAGTGCTCGCAATTATTTTGCTCCCTGTTGATGGAAAATATTACTGCTTGTTGGCTTCAGTATGTAATGCTGTGTAGTTTGGCGTGGGTTTCACTTTGACACCTAAAGGTCCTTGACCCGCCTGTTGATCTGAGCGTTGGTGTTTACAGGCTGAAAACAAATACGTCGTTCTCAAAGACTGGCTTTTATCTCTGTATTTACGTGTCTGGGTTCCGTTACTCACTCGCTTTCTCTTTTGTCTTTGCAGGATATTGAAGCTACTATGAACTCTGCTCTGAACGAGCTGCGGGAGCTGGAGAGGCAAAGCAGTGTAAAGCACACGCCAGATGTTGTCCTCGACACGCTGGAGCCTTTGAAAACGTCTCCAGTGGTGGCCCCCACCTCGGAACCTTCCAGCCCTCTGCACACTCAGATCCTCAAGGACACTGAGCCAGCTTTCCAGCGCAGCGCGAGCACAGCCGGCGACATACCCTGCACCTTCAGACCCGTGAAATCGGTCAAAATGGCCACCCAGGTGAAACCTCCGGCAACTCGGCCGAAGCCGACAGTTTTCCCCAAAACAAACGCCACGAGCCCCGGCGTTGCCTCCTCTGCACCTCAGCAGCCCACTGACAAGTCCTGTACTGTCTGATAAACCTGCTGCTGCTGCTCTGTGGATACAACTGTATTGTTTCAGAGGAAGAGACTCTGTTAAAGACATTAAACTTCCTACTTAACTAATTTTGGAACTTCTGCCGAAGGTTAGTTGTGAACTGCTGGGAGCGCTTCCTGGGAGTGAACTAAGTGGTACCAACCTCGTCCCGGGCACCCGCATCAGTGACTTTCGTAAGGCAAAACAGCTCATGCCACGCTTAGGAAATCCAGTATCAGGTCACTGTGAAGCTGAGGAGGAGAACACACAAAAAGCGAGGAGTTGGATCTTGGTTTCTAGTTGATGCCTTGTTCAAGTGTTTGGCCGCTGAAAGAAGTCTTTGGTGGCATCATGTTTTGAATACTGGTGTAGTGGCTTCTGTATTCTGTGTTCCATTTATCACAGGGAAACAATAGGATAGATTTTAGTCTATTGCATGTTTTGGTGCCACTGTTTACGTGGAGCTTGGACATGCCTGTTTCTTGTGCATTATTATTACGTCGCCCGCTGGTGCCACGGTGGTTAAGGGTCTGTCTCGACTTCCATCACATCCTCCGGTTTTGTTTGTTTGCTCCCCCATTCCTCCCCCCTGGGCCAAAGCTCTTGGCCATCCAGCCTCATCCTTTAGTCGGCACTTGTCATGAAAAATAGTTTACTCTGGAACACTCTTAGATTTTGTGGAGTTATACGTAATATGTGTCTGTGCAAATATAAACAAACATGTTCCTGAGGTTTAGGAGCATAAGAAAGAGCCCAGTTGTTGCTTATGGACAATCTAGCTGTTTTCCCCCTTTGCTCTCCCGTATTTAAAAACAACTTTATTGTTTCTCAGTGTAATTTTCAGCCCGTAGGCTATGATGTGGTGTGTGGTCTCGGGAGACTGAATGTAAAAACAAGTTAACTTTTGAAAAGCAAGCGTACTCTGATGGGAGTTCATTTCCTAACGCACACGTTCTTGTTTTGATCATATATCAAGATGGATCCTTACCAAAATCCCAGTTACGAGCACTGTAAAAACTTCAACCCGAAGTCCTCAAGCTTTGTATCTTCTCCCTCTTCCCGGCTGCAGACGCTTCGGTCGGTGGCTGTGACCGCTGTGAACTGCTTTAGGGATCTCTGCTCTTATAGAGCGCTGTAGGAGCCGCTGCTGGGGACGGCGACGTGACGGCCTCAGCTCCTGGAGTGGCTGCCCCACGTGTTGGCCGGCAGAGCCGCGTGCCTCCGTGGGACTCCGCAGACCCGGCAGTGAAGTCTCAGTGTTTGTGTTCACGTGGTGGGCAGCAAGCGCTTCAGCCGCCAGCAGGCTGCATGAACTCGTTTGTACTCTACTGAGAATTTTCCACAATGCTAACGTTTATTTAATTTAACAATAAAAGGCATGTGCCACTTACGATGGTAAAGAAGATCTTGCAGTCCTGCAAGAGAGGAGACTCTGGCTGACCCTCAGTTCACCTTGTTCTCAAACTTTGCTGGGATTTAAAAAAAGCTGCACATCTTACTCTTTCATCAAATAAATTCAGGCAAGGACAAGATAAGAAAAGTAATTTTTCTCTCCCATTTAGCTGTGTTTCTTTTAAATTTGTGGGTTTCTCACACTTAGCTTCCTTGTGACTGCAATGTCATTTTAATTGGCACTTAGTAATTATAAAAGAAGAAACAAAACTTACATTTCTAAGTACAGTTTCTGCAATGTACTTTTCTGATTCATTTAGGATGCTACTTGGAGAAGTGAACAGGGTTTTACTGTGTCCCTGTCCATCCCCACACTCACACCCCCATCTCTGCAGAAGTAATATATCCATATGAATGATGTTTTTTTTAAAAAAAAAAAAAAACAAAACAAAAACAAAAACAAAAACTTTCTCTGTGCCCTGAGTTAAGAACATATGAAAATTGGGGACCACTGGAAAGATTCCAATGAGAGCACTCTTTATTATTCATTTCTCCTTAGCTGATGTGTAGCAGCCGTTCCCCTCGGGAAGCACCGCGGTACGTGTGTGACTGTCACTGGACCTTGCCCTGTTCCTCTCGCAGGGGAAGATCCCAGCAGTGCGACCAGCGACCTTTCCTCTCAGGTTCTGATGGACTTCTACCACCAAGGAATCACTTGTTCTTTTGGGGAAAAATAGAATTAAACTTGTAATTTTTTGCTCAGGCAGAACTTTCTGGCATTTACTTTTAAGTAGAGCGTTTTTGGTTTTGTTTTCTTTTTGGTCATGGATGACCAAAGTCAATCTGTGTCAAGAGCAGGATCTCTGTAAATTTACTTCAACTCATTTGTAATGCCTTATTTTCTTTATATTTTTATGCCTAGCATTCATATTTCTAAGAATAAGTGTCCAGCCACGCACAGCACATTTGGAGGAGATGCTCTTTTCTATCTACAAGGTCTGAAGTATGAATGGAAATAAGAGATTAAAAAAAAAAAAAAAAAAAAAAAGACTTCAGGTTACTGTAACAGCAACTGTCTGTATATGAATTACTGTGCTTATCTCTAGCATCCACAGCTCTGGGACAATCGTACTGTCAAGGGGAATATGTTTAGCAGGATAACCTGTATATTGAGCAACTCAACTGGAATTTTGGTGTGCACTGTGATTGACACTTACACTTACAGCAAGCAATATGGCAGGCTGAACATCGTTCTTCCTCTTCCACGTGCTCTGGGTCTGGCCAGCCAGCAGAAAATCCACACGCGCGCGCACACACACACACACACACACACACACACGGGAGAATAAAAAAACAGAGAAAAGGAAACTTGTGGCTTGTCTGCTTCACTCCGGGAACATACAAGGCTGAGAGAACATTTGCCACAAGTGTTTTATGACCAGTCGTTGCAGGAGAGGTGGGAAGGAGAAACTGGAAATGTCGGCACCGCTCCCTGCACAGCCAGTGGGCATCTTGTAGAAGAGACCAGTGTAGAGTGGACAAGTACGGCACAGTGGTTTGCTTGGGGAGGTATCAATGTTACTCCATATCTTCATATTCAGAAGAAATATTAGCTCTTCCATGGAAATTCTTTCATGACTCTTTTATGTAATGTTTGTGTCAAATATAAAGATAAGAAGTGTTTGATAACTGGAATAACGTATGTCTGTTTGATAGTGCTTTGTATGAACAAAGAATTCTTGTTCATCAGATGTTGGATTGAAATAATCCAAAGCAAAACTTTTAAAATAAAATGCGATTTTAGGTGATCAATCTTAATAGTTTCTGAAGCTCTAACCTTTTATGTTTTATTTCCCTAGTTGGGAATTGAGCAGTGTGCTTTAACAATTGCTAAATTTCTGCCTCTCTAAGGTAATCCAAAGGCTCGCAGTTTATAATTTGTAAATCTGTTACTCATGTCAGAGCAGTGGGACATGATCAAACTCTCTCACTTTATCTGTACTGGATATTTTGTTGCAATGAAAGTGATTAAATAATTAGAGTGCACTGTGACAGCAGAAAAAAAATTTGTTGTATATGTATGTATTTTGATACATGTTCAAAAAGAGTCTTTGGGTTTCCTGTGATGAATACCTCATATGTTGGGTTTTGGGAGTTTTTGTCGATTTTATTTTATTTTTTTTGTTTTGTTTTAATTTTTTTTTTTTTTAAGGCAAGATTGTTCTTGCACAAAAGTAGGTTAAGATAACCGAGTTCTCATAAATTTATTTACTGAATCAAAACACTTCGGAGTTTGGCAAGAAATTCCATCTGTTACAGTTCGCCACCTTGCACGTGGTCCAGGGCGAGCAGTCGCTCGGCCGTTCGCCTGCGCGCTTGGGAGAGCTCTGGCAATATTAAGACAAAAAGAGGTCAGTGCAGATGGAGTTTGCTGCCTTATTTCCCTTCTTCTGTGTGTCAAAACCTCAAATTTATTTGAGCGTTGTGTAGGCTTGGGGCTTCGCTAAGCAGTTGAGAGATGTTCTTCAGTAGAAATAAATGTCTCTAGTTAGCACTCGGGATCCTTTGCGTGCACGTACCCCGCCAGGCTGGAAGCGCTTTGAGGGCCCCCCCCGAGGGGGGTTCTGCTCCCACCAGCGCCTCGTTTGCTGGTAAGGCAGCGGTAACGATGGGCAGATCTCCATCGAGGCGTTTTACCCGACGGACTCGGTAAGGCGTGGAGCTGCCTGGCCCCTGTCCGGCGCGGGCTGGAGGGGAAGCGCGGGAGCCGGCTCTGCCCGTTACCCCTCCGAGGTCGGGCGCGGGGTTAGGGGGCCAGGGCAGGGTGCCTGCGCTTGGCAGGGTCAAGCCCTGACTGTAGAGGGGTGTGCTGCAAAGTATAAATACATTTACTCACTGGCCTGTGAACTGCAAGCTAGGAAAACTGCTTTAAAAAAAAAAAAAAAAAAAAAAAAAAAGACAAAAAAAAACACTAAAACAGAAGCATTTGGACACTCCCATCACTAATGAGCCTGTCCAGAACAGAAAATGAGTTTAACAAGCTGGGGATTTATTTATTTTGAGATTTTCAGTTTTCACAAAAATAATGAGCCTTTTTGTGGGCTTCTCTGGCCTTGGCTAACATCCCACCAGTGCAGTTACAGACATTAAGCTGTTCCTTTAGCGGGCTGGTAGCACGAGAGGCCTTTGCAGAAGGGAACGATGCTCTCGTGGGTGAGCGTCGTTCCCTGCACGATGCTCCCACCCTCCGGCTCCGGGAAACCACCCAGCAATTCCCGGCGCTCTGAACTTTGGGCTTTGAGCTTACATAGCCCTTTCAAAAATACCCTTCTCCCCGGATCAGCTTTCTGCTTGTCTCTCTGTGTGTGTGACAACCTGGTACTTGATTAAAAAACAAACAAAAAAAAAAAAAACCAACCCACAAAAAAAAAAACTTGACCCACTGCCTTGTGCCCAGTGGGGCCGGGCTGGGCGGGGGCTGCGTCCCGCGCAGGCAGCGGCGGTTTCGGTCGCTCCCCTCCGCTGACCGCCCCGCCAAAAGGCAGATGAATTATTTTCCAGGCTTGGTTCTAGGAGTCTGTTCCGGTGGATCTAGTAGACGCCAAAACAGCGATTCAAGTTCTGGAAAATGCAAGGTGGTTTTTGGGGGGTTCTTTGGTTGGTGTTCTGTTTTGGGATTTTTTTTTTTTTTTTACCAGTTGTATTTTGTGCTTCCTAGAACATAGTTTGAGACAAGAGTGTTGTTTTTCAGTGATGGGCCAAAAAGAGGTGAAGGTGGAGAGGGAGGGCAGCTCCCTACTGAACTAATACTTGATATGCCAAGCTTCATACAGGGTAAATATTTAGCAGTTTGCAATGGAAATAATAGATGGACCCTTCCTTTTAAAGGCACTGTAGTAACCTTATTTCTGAAGCGGACTTCACCAGCCTTTCTCTCCAGGCAGAGTCCTGTAATTTGAATCACCGAAGTCCAAATGGGATTGGACTCGTGAGTGTGCCAAACTGCTGGAGCAATACTTGTGAGCAGCAGGTACTTCAAAAGACCAGCTCGATGTAGCCAAAATAGGGCAATTATTGAAAAGCATCTCTGATGCGTTTTAAAGGATCGCAGTGATGTCATGGTTCTGCTGTAATGTAGGAAAGTTCGGTCGCAAAGTCTAGAAATCTTTGTTTTCTCTGTTGGTCTGAAACCTCAGTCCTGCAATAGTGGGCTTGGGCTCGTATGGTGCGTTGGGTTTTGGGTTTTTATTAACAGCAGTTGTTTAATGGTGGGATGGAATGTTCTTGCTAAAACAGTTTCCATTGTTTCATGTCTTCTACACCAATATATATATGGTGTATATATTAAACTGTGTAAAATTGTACTTTGTATATATAACTCTGTACAATATGGAGGTACATCCTTTTTTTTTTTCCTTTTGGTACAGTATTGTACAGTATTAGGAGTATATGTGTTGGAAATGTTAAATCCATACTGGGGCAGCAAAATGTATCCATTGTCATTAGCAATAGTTTTGGAGAAATAAATGTTTTGGGTATGGTGGAAATAACTGACCTACGGGCACCAGTGCGTGATGTGCGGAGCGCGGGTGCCGGCGTGGGCGAGGGGGGGGGGGGGGGGGGCGGGGGGGGAACCCTCGGGAATTCGCTTTCAGTAGCGACCGGCACCGGTAAGTGGGTGAGGAAGAACCCGCGGGATGCAGAAATCCACAATGTCACCCCTAGACACTCCGGGGGAGGGGGGGGGGGACGGGGGACTGATAACAGGGGGAAGGAGCAGCCTCCGTGGCACGGCGATAACGGGGGGCGGAAGAGTTGACCCGACTGTGGGGCTTCAACCAGCACCCGCCGCGGGCAGAGCCCCGCGTCCCCCACCCTTGGCTCGCACGCACCCACCATCAGTCCCAGGGTTCAGTAGAGCATAAACTTCCCCTGTAGCGACCTGATTTTAAAATGCTTAATCTTCATCATTTTCCTGGAGAGGATGGGCCTCCCACTGTCTCTGGGAAAGAGGATTTAAGATCGAGATCGTGGATTGGTTCCTCACTAACACCAGCATTCCCCCACCTCGGTTTTTCCGTAGGCCTTTTTCAGAGCACGCTGGGGAAACGGTGTCAGGGTTTTGGCGTTTTGGATTCTCTTTGTTTAGGTTTCAAGGAATTAATTATTTACCGTGAGGCTTGATGTTTAACCGAGCCATTTTGTGCTACGCTCGAAGTCAGCTGGGGACAACCGACACCCCCCCCCCCCCATCCCTGGGGTGAGCTCTGCGGGGACGGGGCATCGCTGCGCTCCCGGGGAGCCAGGGCGAGGAGGGGGCTCGGGCAGCTGCTCCCCCCCCCCCGGCTGGTTCTGGCCCACATCTCCTCCAAAAGCGGCTGCTGTAGGGCTTCAAGAGCTGGAAAGCCAAGAGGCTTCTACTCATTACAGCAGCCTAAATGGTGGTGCCTTAAAGCAGGCTGGGCACCCGCCTCGGGCGAGGCAGCAACAGCCTCACTGAGATCTGCCTCTTGTGTTTCAGATCGCTGCTGCAGAAGCTTGTTTTGCTGGGGAAAAAAAAAAAAAAAAAAGAATTTTCTGCAGCGTGCAGGTCTACTTTGCAGCAAGGTGGATCAGACCCGTGCCTCCAACACACAATATTTTTTTTTTTTTTTTTTTCTCTGGGGGCTGCAGTTTGAGGCTGCCGTGGTGCTTTTGTTGCCTGCCCTCCCAGACGTGCCTTTGCCAGCCTGGGTGCCGCTGCGGGGGGGCTGGCTGGGCTTTCCCAAACCCCCCCGGCTGTGCAGGCTGGGGGGCTCCTGCCCCAAACTGCAGCGCAGAGCCTGGGAGCGGGTCAGGGCTCAGCCGAGCACCCACCCGGGGTGGCCCGGGGACGGCCCGAGCGCTGCCCGCGGGGGATCGGGCTCCTCCGGGGCCAATCCTGCTTCCCTTCCCTCTGGGTGAACCTGCAATTAGGTGCCATCGATTTCTGGGGGGCGCAGGTGGCTTCTGGCATGTCGGTGGTTGGTTTTGCTTTTTTTTTTTTTTTTTTTAAAGCATGAAATAGGAGTCAGAGAGGTAATGGGGTGACACAGATAACAAATGGCTTTTGATTTTCTGTTAGTCGCTGCTGTCCAGCAGCGCAGAGGAGGACACTGCAATTAATCCCCCAAACCCTTCTGATCGCATCGTTTCTTCCAAACCGCGGAGAGGCCGGACCCTCCCCTCACAAACCTCTTGTCCTGATTGTTTTTTAAGAGAAAAAGAAACGCAGTGGGAAGGAATGGGGGGATTCGGTCACTTGTGAGGGAGGGAAAGGGGATGCTCCAGGCTGGACCACGGGGTCTGGTTGTGGAGAGATGAGGCACATGGCGAGGGCACCCTGGGAGCTGCTTCACTTTGCTGGGATGAACCGTGCTGCGGGCAAGGGCCAAGCTGGGTGTAAACCGGGTGTAAGGCAGCATGCAACTCCCTGCAGCAGGTTCCCTGGTTTTCTGTCCCAAGCCCCCCAGGAACAAGGTGCCCGCTGCAGGCAGAGCACGCTGCTTGGCCTTTATTTTTTAGGCTTTGCTGCCACCAGCTGGAACGTTTATTTTTATCACAAACTTGGTTTCGAGGTCACACGCGGGGTTTATCCCCCGTGGGCACGTCTCAGTCCCGGGGTCTCTCTGCAGGTTTGGTGCAAATTGTGATTTGCCGGTTTCTGACCGTGGCTGCGAACAGTCGGAGCAGGTCAGGGGGATTTGGGTGTCAGCCTGGAGCTGGGGAGGATAAAAACTGCTGCTGGGGCAACCAGGGAAAGGAAATAAGCTGCAACGTTTAAAAGGATACCAAAAGAAGGATATAAGGGGGTCTGAAAGGAGCCAGGTGCTGTTACAGAGCAAAATGCGGTGGGTGAGTTCCTGGGGTTGGACTGGGATCTGCTGCCGAGGCTGGACCTGACTGTGCAACCACCCGGGAGAGCTGCTGGGGTAACTGGGATGTCCTGGAGACCCTGGGCTCCAAAGTCTGGCACCATCCTGGCATCAAGGCATGTCGGTTTCCCTCTCGGGCACACCTCTGGAGAGCTGTGTGAGAAGACTTGCAGCACAACCTGAAAATAATCTTTTTTGGGTGTTATAAAATATTTTAATTATTTCCTTCCTGTCTGTCTTTCCCCCTCACCAGCCCAAATCTGTTCACCCATCAGTGAAGGCTGAAGCAACACGTACAGCTCAGAAGTCTCCAAAAACGCCTAAGCCTGGCTTTTCTGCCTTTAAAAAAATCTTTGTTTCAGTTTCTTTTTGCAGCAGAGAGCGGAACCGCAGGACGGGCCCGGGCACAGCGGGTGCGGGGGGTGAGCACACGATGCACCGTCCCACCCGCAGCGGCTCCCCGCCTGTGGGCAGCTCTGGAAGGATCTCAGCTGGAATTTCCCTCCGGAGCTTTTACTCGCCCCTCTTCCTTGTGCTAACTGCTCTTATCAACAATTCCAGTGGTGGCCTGAGTGGAAAAATGAGCTGCATTTTTTTTTTTTTTTTTTTCCTGTGTGGGGAAAAGGTTCTCAAACACCTTCAGCTCAAATAGAAGATATTTTTGTCTGGGGAGGGAGGGACCCCTCAGAGCAGCCCGGCCAGCACCTACCCAGCGTGTCAGCTTGGCCAGCGTTGCGTGGGTAGATCGATGGTCCCCTTTGGAGGGGCACAAGCACGGGCTGAAGGGCGCAGCTACCACATGCATAGAAAATAAGGTTGGAAATTACTTCAAGAAGTCACCCCCCCCATCCCTTTCTCTCCCTGTTAACTGAGCTGCAGCACAATGACTTCAATCAAAGTGATTTAAAGTTTCGCTTGGTTGGACCCACGTCACTCTGCTTCTGCAGCTGAACTATCATGACCTCTGCTACCCGGCGCCAGCCTGAAACGCCCTTCAATAAGCTCAGGGCAAGGGCCAGCCTGGGCCTGGCAGCTCTGCCGCAGGTTTCTCAAGCAGACTCACACGTGGCTGGGCAATGAAGCTCAGAAGTAATTAGCAAACTAATTAGCTGCAGAGTTTGTGTGCAGGCTGGTGAAGTGGCCTATCGGTTTTTGGATGCGCCACACACCGAAGTGTTCGTGTACGTTTGAAGGCTTCATTTTGTGAGGACGGAGCCTTCAGACACACGTCCACGCCAGCCTGAAATAATTCCTGCCAGCGAGACCCCGGCTGCTGGTGCTGAGGCTGGGTGAGGCGAGGGCTGCTGCCAGCAGGAAAGGGAGTAGGAAATGTGAGCAGCACCGTTCCACCCTCCGCAGGCATCCCATCTTGCATCCTGCATCCCGTATTCTGCATCCCACCCTGAATCTCACCCTGCGTCCTTCATCCTGCATCCCACCCTGCATCCCACATTCTGTCCTGAATCCTGCATCCCGCCCTGCATCCCACATCCCACCCTGCATCTCGCCCTGTACCCTGCTCTACATCACAAATCCCACCCTGCATTCCACATCCCTCATCCTGCATCCTGCCCTGCATCCCACATTCTGCCCTGGATCCTGCCCTGGATCCTGCCCTGCATCCCACTCTGCATCCTGCATCCCTCTCTGCATCCCACATCCCACCCTGCATCTCACCCTGTACCCTGCTCTACATCACAAATCCCACCCTGCATTCCACATCCCTCATCCTGCATCCTGCCCTGCATCCCACATTCCGCCCTGCATCCCACTCTGCATCCCGCATCCCACTCTGCATCCCACATCCCACCCTGCACCTCACCCTGCACCCCGCTCTGCGTCACAAATCGCTCCCTGCATCCCACCCTGCATCCTGCCCCACATCCCAACTGCCGCCCCCGCTGTGATCCCTGCCTGCTCTCCCTGCTGCCTCTCGCCCTGGCAGGGGGTTGCCGGGGGGCAGGGGGGGCTGGTTCTGGCCCCGCTCTGGGCACAGCCCGTGGAGGCACTGCCGTAGCTCCGGGTCCGGTTCCCGGCGGGGCTGTGCTGTGGCCCTGCCATGAGCACCGTGGGGTGCTGCCCGCTGCCGGGGCGGGATAGCCAGCGGCCGTGCTCGCGTGGGGAACAGCGATGCTCGGCCCCAACACAGCCACCTTCGCTTTTCCTCCCAGATAACAAAGTCCTTGAGGACCTGATCGTTCCGAAGTGCTACGTGACTCCCGGTGAGAGCGGTGCTGGCGGAGCAGCTCGGGAGCAGCCAGGGCTGGGACTGGGGAATTCCCTGAAATCTCCCCTCTGCCCTTTGCTCATCTCTGAAACCCTCTGGAAGCGTTTGCAAGCGCCGAGGCCGGGCCGGATCCGTTGCTTCACCCACATGGGGGCTGGGGTTGCGGCTCCGTGAAGGATTGGGACTGTTTGCTCTGTTTGCACCTGCTTCCTCTCCCCTTTTCTGAACTTTATTATGAGCAGTTTTACCTGCTCAAGGGCTGCCCCCGGCGATGGGGAGCTGCGGTCCTGCAGCAGCCAGCCCTGCAGCTGGATGCAGGAGCCCTCTGGGACCTGGAACTCCTGCCCAGCAGCTCTTGGAGACGAGCAGTTTGAGCTGAACCACCCAGGCACGGCCCGTGAGCACCCACCTGGGGCTGAGCACGGACCGT